CTTTCACCTACATCATGGCCGCGCCCTGTAGGAAGCCGCCGTTTTCGTTTTGCACGCGCGAACCTGCGTGCCTCTAGCCACGTACTGCACGTACTGCACTAGTACGATTCGTGCACGTACTGCACGATTCTAGTTATAGTCACGTGAACTATAAGTTCACTATTAAAGACGAAGTGGAACCAAGCTAGAAACACACAAGTACGCAGGAAGATGGCGCCGCCACAGGGATGGGATTTCTTGATGAAATCTCCGGCAAAACTCTTTAAAACTGGTGAGGAGAAGCGAGATAGTTCGAAACGGTATGAAGCAGAGAAGCATGTGCATAGGTGGAATGATTCTTGGCGGTTTAAAGAAGACGGGAGGCGCAGAGAATGGCCGTGTTCGATTTGAGCTGTGCTTCGCCTGGAAAACAGACGAGAGCAGACGGAAGCAGCAGGGGGAGTGGCTGAAAGCCGGACAGATGTCCCTACATGTGTAGCTCGGGGGTGACGATGGCTGAAGATATCGCATTAGCGTTCACACTTGTTCAATTTTCAATTTTAATTCTGGTGCCTGTTAGCAGCTGAAACACATCCTCACATGCTTGTGGATATCATATATTGTATATGGAGACCTGACTGTAATAAGTAAAGGTTATCAGCTGTAGGTTTAGTGTGTTCATAGGAAACGTGACAAAAGAACACAAAACACATTTCTCTTTATGGCCTATATAGTTGTCATCATTAACATAACATGATTTACAGAATACATGTGACGAACTAACATTTCATGTTCTACCACCGGATGTTTGGATCAAAATATGAACCAATCACAGTGTTTCCCCTAGGAATTTTTCCAGCTGTGGGGGGGCGGCTTGGGGAGAAATTATGACACGTCTCTAAATAAAGTAAAATTTTCCAGTGCAGATTGGACACAACCCATAGAAGCACTGATTTGATCTCATTTTAGAGAAAAATAGAACAGGTCAGATGCACCTAATAAATAAAATGACTAACAAACTCAGGAATCTTTCTTTGCTTCACTGTTCTGCTGCTGAGAATATCACTAATGTGGATCAAAGGAGACACAGATGAATGCACCTCTTATTTATTATTTGGAGACTACATTTACTGCAGCTGGCAGAGGCAGAGATTTTTTCTATTGATACACGGAATTTACAGAATCATTTTAAATTTTAATAGGGGAAGACTGCAGGAGGGAGCGGTAAAATACAGGGGGTCCCCAGCAAAAACAAGAAACTACGAGTCTGATGAAACCCGCTGGTTTTCCATCAGGCAGTCACGGGGCAGCTCCAACGACCCAGTGGCTGTGCTGGGTCAGTGTTATTGAGCCCAGTCCGGTACCGGCTCGGCCGTGAACGAGCCGAGGCGACGTCGTGCTCTGCTTAAGAAGAAGTGTTATTTTCCCGCTTCAGAAGAAGCGTCCAACGTGTTTTTACGCTCTCTCCGAGACATGACACGTCGCTAAGTTGTTAGCGCCGCATGCCAACACGTCAATAGTGCAGCGTAGCCTGCTGGAGGTTATAAGGGTTCAGATGAAACACCCGACCTCTCAGGCTGCTCACACATCGATCTTAAGTTGTCGCTGTTGCGCTCACGCCGTAATACATTATTAGATGTGGTTAAAGTCAGACATGAAAAAATACATTTTACATGAATAAGTGATGCTTAGCCTGGTGGGGGGAGGAGAACCTGGCCTAATAAGCACTGGAGGAAACCCTGTCAAGATCGTCAACACTCGTTTATCTTAATGCTATTGAAACATGTAAACCAAAAAGCATTATATCCACTGCTACCTTTCTAATTTTAAACTCAGTAACTTATGCTGTAACTTCACCTTGCCCTGCCTGCTCCTCCTTGCTGCCCGCCGGCTGTGATCACAAGCGACAACATAGTAGTTCCCGCTGCTTCTTCGGGAAACAGCGCAAAAATAAATAAATAAAACTTGGGATCTTGTAGGCGTGGCGGTCAGCCGTGGCGACCCGCCACGGCTACGCCTATGTAAGGGAAACCCTGCATCAGATCTTAGATCAGGTGAGAGCCAGGCGAGGGCCAGGCGTTTCCCGTCATCCCCTAGGTTTTGCAGCCGGTGGAGAGCAACTGCAGCGCCTTGCTCCAAAATCTGCGGCCGCCTTGATCTCACGAGGTTATCGTTGCCTACGTATGCATGACGTCAGAGCAAGTCGGCGACAAGTCGGACACAAATCTAACCGGCATGCACTGCTCGCCGATCACCGCTGGTCTAATCTGCGCAGAACTGGCTCATCTTGAACACAGCCAATGGCTCGAGTACAGCAAAGCGGAGTTGGTGATGTACTACATTGTATGCCGGAAGTATGCGACGACATAATCGAGTTTTGTTGAGGGAACAAACAAATTCAAACTTGAATACGTTATTATGTTTGTGAATGTGTACAAAATAAAGGTTTATTACATTTAAAACGGTTCAGTTGTTATTTTGACTCGTTTTGGCAGCTGACCAGCGGGGCCGGTAGATTCTTGGAGGGGCCGGTAAATATTCAGAGTTACCGGCCCGGCTGGCCGGTTGGTTTTGAAGTTAATGTCCACCCCTGTGTTAACAAAAACGCTAACAGTAGCTTTACCAACGTTAAGTTCAAGTTACCAAGTTTAAATAAACCAAAAATACCCAGCAGCAAACAGACCAGCACGGAGAGACTGCTACCACAAAAACAGCTCTCCTAATGTCTGAAAGAAGCTCCTTTATGAAGGGAGAAACTACCGGTGATTTTCTACATCTGCGGTAGAGGCGAAGCAGCGCATTTGACCCCAGAAGTTGTTGTCCGTTGCCGGGAGACGAAGGCGGGCAAAACAGGAAAGGAATCTAGAAGCGGACGGACATTGTTCCGGGTCTTCAGTATTTGGCGGAGATGTTAGTGAAGGCAGAGAACTAGAGGAAAAACAGGCAGATTCCTCCTGTATTTACAAACTCCTGGGGATGCAACAAGTGGGCGTGGTGCGTCGACTACCAGATCCAACGTCGACGAATTTTTAGAATCGAGCCGTCTACGTCATTAACGCTTCGCTACAGCTCTACACAATACACCTGATTCAAAATGTAAAATATCTGTTTAGCATGTCCTCAAGTTTGGCAGGATCCTGCTAATCACCCAATGATTCAAACCAGGTGTGCTGGAGAAGAAAAACATTTAAAACATGCATCATCTTTGCTCGTTTTGAAACCACTGCCCACCCACTTTTGCAACCCCCCCCCCAACACGAGAAACCCCACTCCTCCCTCTCTCATCCTCCAGGAACATGAGGGGAGAAGAACATTGAGAGCAGTAAACCCCAGGAAAGCTGCCAAACCAGATGGCATACCAGGGATCATGGTCAAGGAGTGTGCCAATGAGCTGGCAGGTATCCTCACCAAGTTGTTTAACCTCTCCCTGTCTCATGCTTCAGTCCCGAGCTGCCTCAAGTCTGCAACAATTATTCCCATCCCCAAAAAATCTTCCATAGACAGCTTAAATGACTATCGACCAGTTGCTCTCACACCTGTAATCACAAAGTGTCAGGAGCGACTTATCTCCAACCACATCCAAGCCTGTCTCCCCACCTCCTTCGACCCCCTTCAGTTTGCCTACCGGGGAAACAGATCAACAGAGGATGCAATCGCCCTGACGCTGCACACAACACTGAGCCACCTAGAGACCAGAGGAAGCTACGTCAGGATGCTCTTTGTTGACTTCAGTTCAGCTTTCAATACCATCATCCCAGACATTCTTATCTCAAAACTGCTGAGCCTTCAGATCCCTCCCTCCACCTGCCACTGGATAAAAGACTTTCTCACAAATCGACCACAGCATGTTAAACTTGGCTCCCATCTCTCCTCCTCCATCCTACTCAGTACTGGCTCTCCTCAGGGCTGTGTGCTGAGCCCCCTACTGTACACTCTGTACACATCGGACTGTACCGCACCCCACCCATCCACTGCCATCTTCAAGTTTGCAGATGACACCGCTGTGGTCGGCCTCATCACAGACGGAGATGAGGCAGCATACCGGGCAAAGGTCAGTAATCTGTCAAGGTGGTGCTCAGATAACAACCTCACTCTGAATATACAAAAAACTAAAGAGCTCATTCTGGATTTCAGAAGACACAGTCACACACACGCCCCTCTCCTCATAAATGGAGAGTGTGTGGACTGTGTCCCCTCCATCAGGTTCCTCGGCACCATCATCTCTGCTGACCTGTCCTGGTCTGCCAACACCAGAGCTCTGGTTAAAAAGGCTCAGCAGCGGCTGCACTTTCTCCGGGTCTTGAGAAGGTGTGGCCTGGATCAGAAAATGCTGCTGGCTTTCTACCACTGCTCAGTGGAGAGCACCTTCACCTACTCCCTGAGTGTGTGGTATGCAGGCTCCACTGCTGAGGACAGGAAGGCTGTTCAGAGGACAATAAACACTGCCCAGAGGATTATTGGCTGCACCCTGCCATCCCTGGAGGCCATCTCCAGAACCTGCTGCCTAAAGAGAACCGCTGCTATCCTCCGTGACCCCACCCACCCTGCCCACTGCCTGTTTGAACTGTTGCCCTCAGGGCGCCGCTTAAGGTCAGTTAAATAACATACCACCAGACTTTCCAACAGCTTCTTCCCTTGGGCCATCAGAACATTCAACACAACAGCACCATTCAACCCCCCACAGCCCCATCAGTAATGTGGACTAATCTGTTTTAAATCATTTTAAATTATTGTTTTAGCAGATCCAAATCACTGGTTGTACTTTCTTGTTGTTGCTAAATGTTTTTAAATTGTTTTTAGTCCTTTATGGTTTTCACATTTATTGTCATTTATTGTCTTGTGCACTGTTGATGGCGGACCATCTGTAATTTAATTGCCATGAGCAATTACAATAAAGTCTATTCTATTCTATTCTAATTATCAACGTAATTAATTATGATGTCAACTCATGGCAGTGCTGGATGAGACAGAACTACAGCCTTTTAAGAACAGTTTTAAATTGAGTGAGCATGAACACTTACCCGAGATCTGTGTAAGGGATTGTCAAAATTTGTTCCCTCGGGTGCTAGTAGCAACCATCCTGCATATGTAGGTTTTGCCTGGAGAAAGAGAAAGAGAGAAATACATAAACCATTCCCAAGATTAAATGCTGCCACAATGCTGTAACATTAGCATTTTGATCAGTTTCAGTTGCTCACATTCTAATGTGCAGCAGCCCCAAACAACTTTAAATATTAGCAGCAATAATAATCTAGTGCCGTTAAATTCTGGTTCTGGTTGAGATAAAAGTTGGCTACATTTTCTGGTTGGCTGTATTCCAGAGCAGCATGTTGCCCTGAACTGGAAAAAAGAAAAGCCTAACACACATGATTCTTTTCTCTAATCCTGTCAGTGGGAAGAGCGGTGAGTGGGAGGAGGAAGCAAGAGGCCGAAGTTAAACAAGAAAAATAGTGGCTGACAACTAGAGAAGTAGCACAAATCTTGGGGAGTTTTGTGGCCACAGATTTGCAAGTCAAACGTGTAGTGAGAGACGCAAGATGGCCTGGCAGCCTGGGCTTTCTCAAACTGTTCTGGAACATACTTGAACAGTGGCCACAGCAGTAGTCAGCACTTGTTTGCTGTGTGGAAGAAAGAAAAAAAAAAGAAACCCTGGGTGTGCATGACTATGTACTGAAGTACAAGTGATGTTTACACTAAAATCCTGACTAAACCTAAAGAGCTTAACAAATCAACCCTCTTACATAATCCACTTGCATTTCCCGGTCTATAGAACAGCCGTTAGATCAAGCTGTGGAGCTCTGACATTTATAGCCCACTGGCACCTCTCTTTCTATGGGTTTGATTAGTTATAACTTACCATATAAAAGGCTAGACACATGGCACCATAAGATCCTCTGTCATTTTCATTACAAGTGCATTTCTCAGCTGAAGTGAGGTAAATAACTTTAATTGCCAGAAATATTTGATAAAAAGTCCAAAATCTTGACTTCAGACAATTGAGAGGTTGAACAGACTCAATAGAAAACACTCACACACATAAAAACATGAAAATGGCAACAACTGTTTGAGAAAGAAAAAAATACTGAGGGATTTTGTGGAAAACAAGCATTTAAAAAAAGACTATACACAGTTTGGAAAAAATAACTCTCCTCACATGACTTGACAGGAGCCCAAATGGCAATTCCTCCAGACAGAGGAATAAGTGAGATCAATGTAGGTCGGTTTTCACCCTTCAGTGGCTAAAAGGATTCATTGGAATATGCTGATCTGTGTTCATTTTACAACAGCTCCAGCCTCTAATTCCCTTTGATCACACAAGACCGTGTCAATGACGAATCAGAAAGGCAAATCAGGTGAAAGATGTCATGAAATAAACCATGCAAGCACAACTGCATCCTTTTGCTGTAGAATTATTTTAAGAATAAAAGTGATGTCATGAGCAATCTCACAAAATCTTGTATGATCTGTTGCTGCTATATGTTTTTGAAGTTTTTCAGCTACTACCACATTCATCCCAGTACAGCTAAAAATAATCAGGTTTGAACCAGTTTTGTTTTTGCTAATGTTGATTAGCTATGATAGCCATTCAGAATGGGGCCATATTCAGAGGTTAATCTGTTGCAGATGTAGATTCATCCAGTGTTTCATCGTATCTAACATACAAGATGACATGATAGACTTCAGATAATGCCCATGTTGGATGCCACTACAGTGTTTAGGTCATGGAGGATGTGTTACAGGTGACCATCAGCTACTAACGCACCAAATTTGAGCTTAATATCTATATAATTGACCGTGTTTGTGTCATTTTTGGGGTGTGCTATGTCAGTTAGCTGTAATGGTCGACTCCAATAGTTAGTCAACTGTGTACGTACGTCAACTTATCCTTTATTATCCTGTAAGTTATGAAACATTTTGCAAACATAAGGCAAAAAAACATGATTTTCATCTTTGACTTTAAGAGAGAGACATCATGGCCAACCTATTCTAATGAATGACTGCCAGAGCTGTGTACAATATGTAGTCATAACAGAGTAGACGTCTGCTTGTCAGAAAAAGAATAAAGGACAGGAAAGCCACTGATCAACATAAAGAACAGTGAGAACAGTGTGAGTTGACACCTGGGGGCTGACAAAAGACCTTTGTGAGTCAAAAATACACAACTTCTATAAACAAAAAAGAAGCATATGACTAAGGTAAACAGCTAAACAAGAGAAATGACTAAGATAGAGGTCACAGTATGTTATATTGCTGCAAAAAGTAAGATGGAGGCTTAGATGTGCATGAAACGTGCATGAAACGATGTCATATGAGCCCTTGGGGTGTTAACCAATTACGTCCAATTAACATCGCCTTTGCACTTAACTGTCCAACAACTCGACCACTTCAAACGTAGCCCTGACACAATAATAACAAGTAAAGGTGACGCTCACCTGATTCAAGTCTTCGTCGTTCAGCAGATGTGATTCTCTTGGTTTGAAGCAGTTCTGACATTTGCTTTTGTTGAAGATGTTGGCCTGAAACTTCCGACAAGCGTTTTCTTTTAGGGACATGGTCAATGACTGGAAAGGGCCAAACTTTGAGCAGAAAAGTCCTTTTAAACAAAATTCGCCTTCCGAAGAACAAAAACAAAACAGAAAAACTTTTAAACGCGTAAATATTTACGTTAAAAGAAGGTAAAGCGAGTGGAGCCCATTAGCAAGTTGCGCCGTTCACCTGCCCCGAGTCTACCGAGGCTGTTACCTCTCGTTGGGTGGCATCAACGACGGTCATCCTGCGCGTGAAGCTGTCTCGTGCAGCAAATGTTGAGCTGTCAACTTTTTCTCTACAAGCCTTGAAGAGTTGTCAAATAAGTGGTTTTACACACTCGTGTGTCCACAGTTCGATCTCAAAAACGTCCTGCGTCGAGTTGTCCCTGCTTCACAGGTGACACCCCGGGCCTCCAGCTCGCTGCGAGGGTCCCATCAGCCTCCATCGGGCGGAACGGCTCGAACCGAGGAGAGGGGGGTCCGCTTTGGCCCCTCTCTGTCAAACAAGTGAGCCCGCAATCATTATCGTTCAACCTAACCCTCCTATCGTCTTTCTTTACGCTCAAACATGGCTGTAAAACTTTAGAAACGCCATCGACGTGGCTGTCACGCCACCGGATCCATCGCGTCGCTGTCCCGCTGCTCTCGCTGGCCGTGGCTACGCAGTCTGCGGTCGATGTTTTCGTGAAAATCTTCGTTTGGGCAGAACTTCCAGTCCGTGAAGAGCCGGGGAGGGGCTTTTGAGGAGTGACAGCGTTTCAGCCAATCACGTCTACGAGCACGGCTTATCTGACCAATAGATAGCTTCCAAAGGTCTAATGTTTTCATTGAAAGCTAGGTGGGCTTTAAAGAGCCCACAAGAGCAAATTAACTCCAACGCAATATTGCTAAATATGCTATCAAGACTAGTTAGAGCAAATTTTAGATTGTGTTTGTTTGTTTGTTTGCTTAGGGATGTGTTACTTGTTAATAACCAACAAAGATGGGCTAAATAGCGAATAATGAAAGGACACGTACACATACAAATGTGCCTTGATAAGATATATGCTAAGGCCAGGGTCAGGAGCACAAAAGAGGTCAGTTTACAATGCTTTCACTGCTTCTTCACGGTGTTTAAAAAATAAGACGTCACCGATGCAGATGACCGTTGATGGACTGTGGATTTAAAGCTCCAGCGCGCTCCCTGTTGGTGTAAAAATGCAATGGTTGGAAAACAACAACAAGCTTTTATTGCATCTTTATGAGTTTTCCTTTGTGGCTAGTTCACCTCAATCAGATTGAACCTTTGAATAAATAAGTTCTTTACAAATCATTTAGAAAGGTTTTTATTTAAGGTAGTTGACGTACTGGTGATGAAACAGCAAATTGCAAGGTACATAAGTCATCACATTTACAGCAAACAAACTTAAGCACTTGTGATTTCTTCTGGAATATAATCAAACACATTTCTGTGATTATCAATCCATAGAGAGAGAGAGAGAGAGAGAGAGAGAGAGAGAGAGAGAGAGAGGAATTAAACTTTAATATTTTATCATAAAAACAGACCAACCAATTAAGTCTAGCAGAACACACTGTGTGCTGTGATTTGAGTGCCTTAACCTAAAACTCATCAAGTGGTTCCACATAACTTAGTTTAATCTAAAAATGAAGCTAAATAGAATAATACAAAATAAAATAAGCTCAGTGGACAGTTGCAGGAAGGCGGTTAAGATCACAATAAAATATCAGCAATAAAAAGATGGACAAACTCAAATAATTACATAAATTCTACCTCGTTCACCAAAACTACAAAATGTTCTATGTGAACGTCATTTCTGAGAAGTAAAATCAAGATGAGTTCTCACGTTCGCAGGTCCGTCAGCGTTTTTGCTTCAATGTGTAATATGTTATTTTCTCATGTAAATCACTGCAAATCCCAGTTTTCATTTCCCAGAGGAACGGCTGGAATTAGGCTGGTTTTTAGAAAAGATCTGCTTTCTTCTTCATGTCGTTACGTTTCCAAAATGGGAGTCTGTCGAATTCTTGGATGTGCATCCCAAAGATCTCAAAGAATGAATCTGGGGAAAGGTGACGCTGGAGAAAAAAGCCAGGTCCACGTGGTTTTAACATCAACAAAATCCTTTCCTGCATATATTTGCTTTTATAGTTCACCAGAATGTTTGCAACACATATTAGATATGTAGCATGAGGTGAATTACAATTTTTTTTACCTCCAGTCGTGTCCGGTCCACATCCTTGGGAAGCTTCACTCGTGCTCCGTTTGTAACTGTGAGTGTTTTATATGGGTAGACCTTCAGGGATCAAACACAGATTGATTTGTAGCTGTAATCTTTCTTGGAAGAGTATTTTTATAAAGACATGTTACAAAATAGCTTCACGCAGGCAACAGCTTCTAAACAAAAATCAAGTAAAGCACATACATAGCAGCTAAGACAGTTAAAGCATCATGAAATGTAGAAAAATATACTCTCAAGTCTAGATGCTTCTGAGCCAGTTTATTAAAAGACTCTCAGACATGGTGAAAGGTGATTTAACTGACCTCAGAACAGTTATTAATGTTGAAGTTCAAGCTGCAACACCGCCCACAGAACCTTGTTTTATTATTTATTTTTTGCAGGAAATCAGTAATCATATCCAATAAAACAAATAAGTGGTACTTGCTTTTGTCTCCAACAAATTAGGCATAGAAACTCCTCTGTCCATTCGTGAAAATGGAAGGTGATCGTCATGGGTGAGCTACACAACGAAGCAAACACATGCAGAAACACACACAATCCTGGTTAATCTCTACAAGACAAGCGGGGACAAGTTAGGGTAATTAAGCCTACTGAATGTTTTTCTTTTCCTCCTTGCAACTAGAAGGTTATATATTCATGTCCTTGTTGCAACTCATTCAGCGTTCCTTTCAGTTGCACTGAATTTATTTATTTTATATACATTCGTTTGCATAAAAATATTAATTTAGTTGTTGAAAATGTGTTTTAAAGGTGTGGAACTCTGATTTAACCAATACATTTGCAGTGGTCTCTAGTTGGAATGAATATCTTGTAAGTCAAACTCTGGGGAAACAAAACTGCGGTGCACCAATTTCAGGAAGTGTGAGCCAGAGCTGAGCTTCAGACGGCAGGATTTGAGGTGTTCCTCAATGTCAAGGCACCTGACCTCGCAAGGCGATTTCTTATGAGACCAGGCGCTTTACTTACGAGGACACTGTCCTTCCTTGGTCAAAGAAAATGGTTAAATCGAACAGACTTGCATCACATGACCACTGCTTCCTTGGTGGTCATATGACGTCACGCTACACAGGAGATAACGTTAAATTTTACACGTGTGAGTTTCAGTATAAATATGTAACGAGCCTTTTACTTTTTAAATTGTGTACATATTGGTTAAATTAAATATGTAAGCGAGTTACTGCCCTCTAGCAACCGAAGCTGCAACTACTAAGCAACTAACCAACCATAGATAACTGCATTGGCCATAAACAAAGCATTTCAAATACAAAGCCGATAGCTACCATTAGACTTACATTTAAACTTGAAATTTGGCCCAGAAGTAGCTGCTGGCTTCTGATCCGCCATTCTTTTGAATAACCGCGCTGTATTCTGGGAAATTTTTGTCCAAGGCTAGCCCTCCCGTATATCCTTGCTCAGCTAGCTAAACGGCAGACGCCTCGGTAGAACATGAACATTGGAACACGCCTTGGTAGTTCTTGGTGTATCTCCTAGGCAACTGGGGGAGGGGGGGTGGGGGTGACCAAGACATTAAGGTGAGATTCCTTGGCATTGAGAAACACACTTGGAGCCTTATTTCCTGATATTTGGACATTTCACCTCCGATTGGCTAACAGCAACGTGACTCTACCACTGACTCTGTTTTCTTTGAAATGTTGATGTTTTATCTCGACAAATAACTCAAGCCTGGAGGAGTTCTGCCTTGTTGTGGAATTACTAATGCTAACAGTTAGCTTCTACTAGCCAAGACATTCTCTGCTGTTTCCTGGACGCTAAACCAACAACAGCCCTCCCCATCGTGAGCCAATATGGCTGCGTCCATGAATATTAAGTGACAGTGTGACGTAGATCTTTCAGGATTTTCAAATCTGTCTATTTTCTATCAGAAGCTAATGCAGGAGATAGGTGTAGGAGGCTATTTTCATGTTCAGCCTGCATGAAAAACTCAGAGTGACTGATTATTATCAGAAATAATAATAAAAAATGTTTTTTTATGTTCCACACCTTTAATACACGTGACTCCTTATATATTCAAGAAAAACAAAAGACATATTAGGGGGAAACTAAGAAATGAGACTCAGTTAACAAACACGCATATGCAGATAAAGGAGCTACAAGAAAATAAGACACTTATGCTTACCTTAAAGCCTAAAAAAGGAGAGAAAATTTTAGTAAATCAGAAAATAATTAGTTAAAATACTATGTAAGCTGGCTTTATATAGATAGAATTATAAGCTGTGGTTTTAAATATTTGTACTTACTGAATCTGTCTCTGAGGGTGCTGCAGAAATCAGCTGACTGAGGCTTGAAGAGGAAAAAATATCATTCATTGTTAATATTCATCTTAAAAAACACTTAATTCTGCTTTAAAATATATTTTTTCAATAAAGTACTGATACATAAATCCAAAGAATGTCACCAAACAGTAAAGCTAGGAAGGACATGCATTTTCTGCATTTACCAGATTCAGGAAGTTGTGACCATACACGGGTAAGGAGGTTGTCTGGGATGAGCAGGAATTCAGATCTGTGAGAAAGTGGCACAGCAGACAGATAAACTCAGCGTCAGAATCTGCTCACTCCCCAAAATAGATCAGACTGCCTAAGGAAAGTATACCGTCGTCAGATGTCAGACTTCCTAGTTACTGCTCTATTAATTTCATATCCACGGACATTTTCATTAAATAAACAAGTTTTATATTCAGACTAATTAAAATGACTCATATATTCACCACAATTCAGCCTCTGTTTCATTTTTCATTTTTAATGAACTAAAATAACTAATTGAAGAATAAAAATATGTTTAATGTAAATTTTTGCACCATATGAGGTTTGAAAAGTTAGCTGAAAGCTGTACCTTGTTGTTTGTAGATGGGAGGTCTTCTGTACAAATCCAAGCCTTGGTCTGCTGAAGAACAAATGCAGAGTTAGCAGAAATTTGGTTGCATGATGCTAACGACATGCTGTCACTAAGGCAGGTTGGAACAACATCACTTTTATTTTATTAACGTCATTTACAAAAATGTGCTCTGTATTACAATTGGAACTGTCATTTAAAAAGCATCAAGATTTAGAAATGTTTCCATGTAGGGAAAGAGAAGTCTAATATTATAAAAGCAGCCAAGATGGTAAAAGTCTGATCGTTAACGGACAAAGTGGAGGTCCTTGCTCACTCACGCTGTCATCAGGGCACTGATGGTAAAGTTCATCCTGGTCTAATCCCCTCAAGTCACAACAGAGCTGCTTTAAATAAACAAGGAAATGCCAGAAGGCTGCGCCGTGGCGCAGTGGTTAGAGCTGTTGCCTTGCAGCAAGAAGGTCCTGGGTTCGCTTCCCAGCCTGGGATCTTTCTGCATGGAGTTTGCATGTTCTCCCTGTGCATGCGTGGGTTCTCTCCGGGTACCCCGGCTTCCTCCCACAGTCCAAAAACATGACTGTTAGGTTAATGTGTGTGTGTGTGTGTGTGATTGTTTGTCCTGCGTGTCTCTGTGTTGCCCTGCGATGGACTGGCTGTCTGTCCGGGGTGTACCCTGCCTGATTGCTCATTGACCGCTGGAGATAGGCACCAGTTGCTACGTGGACAAAGCGGGTTCAGACACTGGATGGATGGATGGCCAGAGTAACTATTTATACACTGCCTGGCAAAAAAAGTCTCCACCTGGATTTAACTAGGCAAATAGGTAGGAACCTCCTATTGGATAATTACTGCATGGGTAATTCTCTTTCAGCTGGCAACAAGTTATTTAACCCCAACTGGTGCAATGAGTTGCTTCTCATTTCTTCAACAACCATGTAAAAAAACACATCTGGTGGTCATGGGAAAGATGTTAGTCTGTGTGAGAAGGGTCAGATCATTGGTGCACCAAGCAGAGAAAACATCTAAGGAGATGCAGAAACGACTAAAACTGGGTTAAGAACTGTCCAAACACATTATTAAAAACTGATCTGATGCATCCAGATGGACCCTGTTCCAGAGTGATGGTGCATCAGGGTAGAAAGGCAGATGAAGTGATGCACCCATTGGGCCTAGTGCCTACTGTACAAGACTGTAGGTGCAGTGCTATGATCTGGGGTTGCTGCAGTTGGTCAGGTCTAGATTAAGCAACAGGATGTGCTCCAAGAATGAGGTCAGCTGACTACCTGAATGTACTGAATGACCAGGTTATTTCATCTTCCCTGATGGCACGGGCATATTCCAAGATGACAATGCCAGGATTCATCGGGCTCAGATGGTGAATAAGGGGTTCAGGGAGCATGAGACATCATTTCCACACATGGATTGGCCACCGGACCTGAACCCTATTGAGAATCTTTGGGATGTGCTGGAGAAGGCTTTGTGCAGCGGTCAGACTCGTCCATCATTAATGCAAGATCTTGGTGAACCATTAATGCAAAACCAGGTGGAAATAAATCTGGTGACATTGTAGAAGCTCATTGAAACAATGCCACAGCAATTGTGGGTCGTAGTCAAAGCTTAAGGTGGTCCAACAAAATATTAGAAAGCGTGACCTTTTTTTCTGGTAGCAACCCTTTTTTGACGGGCAGTGTTTATTCAATAACAAAACAAACTAAATACTCAGTAACATTAGACAGCCAACTAGTAGCACACAGGCCATGTCCTCTTGCTGTTTTGACCCATTGTGTTCATAATTATTCTGGTTTTAAACATTAATTAATCAAATGAGAAAATTCTATCTGTTGAAATTAGGGACGTCTGATGGTATCAGCCAGTGGAAACAACAAGTAACATTGGAAATGATCAGGAAAGCTATTCTCTCTTCTAGTGATCAGTGATGGAATGTAATAAAGTACTAATACTTTGTTACTTTACTTAAGTAATTTAGTCCTATTTTTCTTGAGGCCTACTTTTAACTTTTGCTCCACTGCGTTTTCTGAAAAGTTTCAAAAGTAAAAGTACTCAGCTACTTCTCCCCTCACTCAAAATGTCAAAATATGCCAGATCTGAGGTTTAGTGGTTGAGATGTTTTGTTAGTTTGGCACAGCTAGAAGTCATTTTGCACAGCTAATGTTTAAAGTTTAAGAATGCATAATAGGAAATATGTGATGTAGTTACCTAAAGTAATTTAGTTTTTCTTTCTTTATGATATGACATAGGTATACGATGTTGGTATTGGTTCACATCATTATCAGAAATTAAGAATGAGACTACATCGGTGTATCAGAAATAAAAAAAAGCTGATATTAATCATCCCAAGTAGAAATATATTTATTTACTTTTTCATTTTTATTAAAAGTTTACTTTATTATATTTTGTATTCTTTTTGGCATTTATGAACAGCTGAAGCCGTTTATCTGCCACTAAACTCACAACCCAAAACATCCTGAATAAAAAAGATGTGGAACGTCATCTAACATGTTTTAGGGAAAACAAAGGAAATAAAACTTTTACAATTCCATCTATTTAGAGAAAAACTAAAATAAACAACATATTCCAATTACCAGATTTAAATTAAAAATAAAAATCCACTTCCTGTACTGTCTGGTTGGTGAAAAGCCCTGAAATCACACTGCTGATCATATGTGCAATAAACTGTTGTTTCTTTTCCATGTTCTCTCTCCCTATCTGTTAATCTTTTAACAAGGATTTTTGTTTATTATTTTTTTAAATGTGGTGAATTTAGTTAATTTTGTAAATGTGGTGAATTTAGTAAAAAAAAAAGATGTATTTCTTACATTTTTTTATTTGTACCTTTTTTATTTTTTGTCCAATGTACCTTCTTTTATTATTTGCTTTTTCTTTGCTCCTGTTGTGAATGTGATTTGCTGCTGTGACACCAAGCTGTTAGGGGGATAATAAAGTTATTGTCTATTCTATTCTATTCTATTCTATTCTATTCTATTCTAAATGTTTTGATAAACAGCTGTTACATTTTCTAACTCTGACCACTAGATGGCTCAGTGTTTCTGCAGGAACAACAACAGTAGAGTGCATCATTCTTCTCTGATCGGCCATATTTCCAGCTTGACCATCAGATCAGTCTGGTTAGTTGTTTGGACTTTTACATAGACGTGAGCAGAAAATGCTGCAGGGATCTTACCTTCAGGTTTAGAGAACAAGTGGTGATATAAAGAAGAAGTGGGGCAAGTGACATTTTGGTTTCCAGGAAGCAAAGAGGAAGAAAGGACCAAACCTTGTTATTTCCCAAAGACAGAAGAAGTGAGTGTTAGGGCGGAGGAGAAAAGATGTGATCTTTAAAAAGGCAAAAACAGGGGCTGATTTTTAAGGTGATGGAGCCGTTGCTCTTTCTTTCTACCTGGTCGGTGGAAGTGTTGTGGTGATCTGGACAGCGACGGGGTGTAGCTGTGGCGATGGCTTGTAACTGGACCTACAAAAGATCCATGACTTGGAGATTTTGGCACGCATGTCCTAAACTCAAAACTCTCCTTGGAAAAAAAAACATTAAAGCAACATGAGACACACAACCATAATACTTGGGTATAAATGTAATAAAAGGTCAGTGATATTTATTTACCTCTGTGGTTTCAGATGTGTTTCCTGCTGACTAAAACAAGCACACAGAGAAATCAATAAGCTGATCTAATTTTATATCACACAAAATATTCTCCTAACCCTAATCCTTTCACATCTTTCAGGTTTACCCCTGAACCAGCACAATAAGTAAAATAAATAAATAAATAAAGAGGTTGTCAGATGAAGCCAAACAGGCCATATCTAAAATCAGATTATGCTAAGGTTCATAATAAGGAGGCTCATTATTGGCTTTTTTACTGATATGTCTAACTCTTAATTTCAGATACTGATATAAACCGATACCGGTATGTGTGGTGTCCCAAATAAAAATAAATAAATAAATTATGTTGCTAACATCACATATTTCATGAATATTTATGCTTTAAACATTATCTGTACAAAATTGCAACTACTTCAGTTTAAGTTAGTAATAAAAAAAATGTCATGTTTAATTTGTCTCCATAGCAGCTAAAAGAGGTTCTCTTTGAAATAGTCCTGATAAACGCTCTGTGCTGCCTTTAGGCTAAAGATAATTATTAAGTTCATGATGGGAATAAGTTTGATAAGTTATTAAATAGCATAAGTGAATTAATGATAAAAAGGTTAAAAGCTTTATTATTAATGTCCATGCCTATCGTTTGCTTCTCTACCTCATAGGATTTACTATACAAAAGTTGCTTTGGGGGCAAATTTTCTTGAACAACAAAAATGCAATTAATCAAGATTAAATAAACCAAATCTTCTAATTAATTAGATCAATTTTTTAAATCGAATGAGTCGCACCACAATTAAAATACAAACAACTTTTCCAGTAGATTTGAATCCAAACACGGTCAGCATCTCTCTGAGCTCCATGCTTGGTGCTTTTGAAAGGGTTCTCACGTTTCAGCTGAAAAACGTGTTCCTGTGTCAGAGTTTTCAGCATTTTAAGAAACTTTGCAAAAAGATCAGAACTGTTTTTCTAAGTTATTTTCCATGAGTCAAAAAGTGTGAGAGAAATAACAGACAACTGCATCAGGGGTTGGAGCCCACATTCTGACTAAGCTGAAACAACACACTTCTTTTTACAATTGTGTCGTGTGTTTGTGTGACCTGTAAAATCTACTAACGTCAACGTACGCACACACTTAGCGGTCTCCTGCATAGATGAGAACGTGTGAAGTATGTCCTCTAAATATTCATTCATTCATTCATTCATTCATTCATTCATTCATTCATTCATTCATTCATTTATATTCAACCACAGTGCTCCCAAAATACAGCTAAGAGACATTTTTCTATGAAATGAAGATGACACACCAACGCATCAGCGGCCATTACCTCTGTGGGGCCCGGCTGGTTCTGTTCACCCCTCTCATCCAGAGTAGAGAAGCTCTCGTTGGTGGACTTATAAGATATCATGTCAGGATGCTCTATATCAAATATAGCCTTGACTCTGGGAATGGCTGCTAAGTCTCGGTAATCAATGATCTCGTTATCTACTTTTGCCTGGGGGGGGGGGGGGCACAGACACAGAGGACATGAGACAAAGGAAGGTTCAAGAGAGAGTTCATCACAGCAGGGTGGAACAAAGCTTTAATCCCAAAAACACCACGGATCTCCAACTTTGCCACATGAAGCAATCAGATTGTTTAAGGCTTTCAAACCAGAATGAATCATTTTAGGCTTGATGCAGAGGTGTTTTAACGGGAGTAAAGTTTATTACATTTATTTCCTTCACAGATAAAAGGAGGCTGGGTGGGAAAAAGACACTAAAGCACCGTTTTAAAATAAAGCTCAGCACCCTAAGCAGACTGATTCATCACATCAGTTCCAGCTGATGTGGCTGATTTTCTCAATGTGGTGATGAATGAATTGTGAAAATGAAAATCACATTTCCTCTAACAGAAAATGTGAAACTTGTTCCAATCAGTCAAGAGTTTAATTTTTTTAAATGATTTTCACATTTTGTCAAAAATGAACATTTTGCATTAGCGACTTGTCCATGTGACCCCCCTGTGTGAATAAAAAATGCCATTGAAGCATAAAAGGTGTTAAACGCAGCAGAGAGGAGGCACAAGATCTTTAAACTTACACAGATTGTCCGACTGGGACTGCCCGGAGTGCATGAGCTGGGCCTGGAGCAGGAGCTCTCAGATGACGATCTGTTGGGCTAAAAAAACAACAACAAAGTTTTACTCATTTGGACACTTTCACTTCTCACACCACATCTGGGCCGGTTCACCTTCCAGCAGTTGTTAAACTCCATTCAAGAGCAGGTGCACTGCAATTCAACTGAAATAAAATTGGCTCTTACAACATGCAGTACTCAGATCTTTCACTAGAGGGCAGAGACATGTAGAGAATCTGATATAACACTAATCCTGTTAAAGAGGTGGTGGTCTTAGAAATGTGGAAATCGGGGGAGATTCGGTATCTGTATCTGGTCGTCATTTAAAACGAGGCAGACTCCAAAAATCATTCAGCTTCTGGTTTAGATCCGAGTTTTTTCTGGGAGTTTTTAAAAAATCCATGAAAAAACATAAGTTTTATTCAAATGTTGAGTGGCAGGTGATAACTGAGATTATTTCAGTTAAATCTGATGCATGTTGTAACACTGTGATGTCACAGAGGCAAGAGGAAAGTTCTTAAAATAAAAGTCAGACATGCAACATTTCTGCAAAAAGGCATCAAGTTCCCTCCAGAGCTGTGGTTCCCAAAGTTTGGGATATAGGACCCCACTGTGGGTCCCTAAACAAAGGGTCCAGAAAACAAAGTAAAATTGAAAAACAATTGCTGAAGCTATTATTCTGACATAATTGATACAAAAACTCAATTATAGTATCAAAAATGGATATAAGTGAAGTGGTTTTCTTTGTGCCCATTAGTCAGAGACATCTAGAGTTGCATGAATTTTGTGGGTCTGATGCTGAAAGGTTTGGGAACTTCTGCTCTAGACAACAAGCAGCTAGTTCACCACTTATCAGACAGCTCCCAGATGATCATTCAGGTTATGTCGTGTTGTGAGTCATTCAGTCAAAACTCAAACCTAACAAAGCATCCACAGTCTGCTCACTCTATAAGAGGAAACCATGGGTCTGCAGACATTCTTTACCCTCAGCTCATGTGGAGGGAAAAAGAAATCAAGACTGGGCATCTGCGACCTGCTGACCTGAGAAGGAGGACAGTGTTTGCAGTGTTCATCTGCTTCTAAAACTACAAATCCAAAATGTTTCTGAAAAGAATCCTTCTGAGTTAGACTGGTCTCACCCTGCAGCCGTCTTCTGCTCTGCTGCTGTCTTTGCAGTTGGGGTGCCAGATTGTAGATCCTGAGAAAACATGGTTGTTTACTGCCCTTCTTAATGTAGAAAATGACCATTTGGACTCTTAAATAATCACAAATGATAAAGAATGAATAATCAAACCTTGCAGATACATTTCTTCCCCTTCTGTGAAGACACCACCACACCTACAGCATCTTGCACAGCTGGGGTGGTAGTGTTTGTGTCCAGCCTAATGCAGAAATGAACAAAATGCACCAAAATGTAAGTGTCTGAATATGTTTTGCTTCACAGTATTTAGTAAAATGTTTCTTTTCTGCACAGTTTTTATTTTGACTGTTTTTTGCTTCCAAAATCTGTTGATATTGAACTTAAATGTGTGCATGTTATCAACAAAAGCTCAGATTGTGATTATTCCACCCTGTCATGTTCCTGAGCCGAGGTGAGCACTCTCTCCTCACTAGCCATCTCTGAGGCAATCTTCCACAGGTGAGGAGCGGAGGGTGCTGCAGGTGTGCCAAATCTCCAATCTGGAGGTCAGGTATAAAAGGAGGATGGCGACACCACACTACGCCGGATGATTGCACCTGTTAGGTAGCATCAGCCTCGCGACCTCGTTTGCTTGTTGCTTGTTAAATCTTTGATATTGGATTACTGGCTCTGAACCTTGGACTGTTTTTCTGGATTATGCCTTTTGGATTTTCCCCTGAACTCTGTTTGTTTGCTCTGCTCAGGATACTCAACTCTTCACACTTCTCTCGCCACTTGAACCTCGGATTTCCAGAACCACGTCCCATCCTCTTCTACGCCTGCCCGTTCATCCCCGCTGCCTCACCCGCCTCAGCCCGCTGAATTCCACCTGCGCTCACCTTGGCTACCCTCCTTTCCCACACGTCGTGGACTACCATATGGACTAATGCCAAACGGCACACCCTCACTGGACTTACCAGTGCACTTTTTGTTCCTGCTTAGAAAATAAAGAACTTTTCTTTTTACTCACATTGAAGTTGTGTTGATTCTGCATGTATTGGGTTAAACACCTCCCGCGAGTCATGACCCACCCTAGATGTCTTAATCTTTGAGCCAGGCTTTTAAATGCCAACTAAAGAATTTCCAACACTAACATTTGCTCAAAAAGGACACTTCACAGGAGTCACCTTTCACCCTTAAACCCAAAAGAAGTTTTCAAAACTTTAAGTTGACACCAGGCATTGGATGTTCTCTGATTACATTTGAAAATGACCAAAAAATGAATAAATATCAAGTAAAGTTTTTTGGAGGAAATGGAAAATTCATAAAGCTGTTTTGTGATTTCTGTCTTTTCCAGATTATGTCGATTTCTACACATTAAAAATGTTCTTCCACAGAGGTAGACCAAGATGCTTCATCGTTATTCGGTCTTACCTCCAGGACTTTTCCTGTTATAAACCTCTGACACGCTTCACATTTCACCCCAAACTGAGTCTGGTAGTCTCTCTCACAGTAGGCAGCGCCATCTCTGAAACACATAACAGTCGTGTTCTCCGTGAGTTATGAATTTTACATTAGATTAAGGCAGAGAGAGGAAGTAGGGCTCCTGAATCAGAGTTCTGTGTTTACTTGTTGATGTATTCTCCGTTCAGGACCCTCCTGCAGGCTTTACACTTGAAGCAGCCGATGTGCCACCGGTGACCCAGAGCTAACAGCGCCTGGCCGTTCTTGATGTCCCTACCACAGCCGGCGCAGTCTGAAAAAAAGCAAACGTGCACGTTCATGTCTGTTATATGTTCTGCTCTTTCTTATGGGTTGTCTTAATAAGCAGCTTTTTGTACAATCCTGCAGACAGATTCAACAAATCAGAGGCTTACTGAGCCTGAATCCTCTTTTGTTCTGTTTATATCTATAATCTGTAGGTGGACCGGGTTAAGGTAGAGCCAGGGGGGAGCTTCAAAGGGATGACTGAATCTATAATTGTTTTAAAATCATGCACTGCATGTCCTGCTTTTCTTTAGTTTTAAAGTTGAGCATGACAGCTGTAAGATCACTTGACCCTTCTGATTTCTGATGGACTATCTCAAATATGTATTATCCTGATTTAAGAAAACAGAAAGCTTTAAATTCCTGAAACAATTACAAATCATTTACTCTGCTGAACAGATACTGACCAGACTCAGCAGCACAGTATTATAAACATAAATAAAACAAGCAGGTAGGTCGCTCAGAGACTCTAGTAGGCCGGTGTCCAATGCATAGTCCCCTTTCTAACTCAGACATCTGCTTTTCCTCGGGTAGTGAATGCAGCATAAATACACTCACTGTTAGGACAGCTGATTTGATAAGAAGACGAAGACGTGGGTCCGGTGCAGCGTTGACAGAGACAGTCTTTTCCTCTGAAGGTCACGCAGTCTCCTGCAGGAAACGGTTTTCTAAGAAGGAAAGAATCAGCCTGAGATAAGCCACACAAATGCAAAACCTTGCTGCAAACCTACAACAGCCAGAATTGTTATAATTACTTGCAAACTGTGCACACAAAACATGCTGGGTGGTAGGACTTTCCCAGGATCATGACCACCTCCCCTTCTACGAACTCCCCACAGTTGTTGCAGGGTGTGCCGTGAAGTCGCTGGAAGTCCACCGGGCAGAGGCATTCCCCGTTCCTCATGAAGAAACCGCTGTGAGCCAAGTCGCAGCCGCACACTGCACAAAATGTATTTCAGGGTTTGAAATTAGAAAATATTGTGGGGATCCAACATTAAGAGCTTTGCTAATGGAATTAAGCTTAGAATCACATATTCTGATTAATGAATGGAATTTGGATGGTATGCTTAGGATGAAAAGGTTTGTAACACATTTGTAACAAAGGTGTAACAACCTCCCACACTGTGAACATGCAGCTGGGACATGAGGTGCATGTCACTAGCAGGAAACATGACTGAAAATGAATGAATGAATGAATAATTAATCAGCTCTATCTGTAAACAAGCATCATAAATAAAACAAAACTGATGAAGGAAAACTTCTTGCAACAGATAAATGGTCTCAAATTAGCCTCCAAAGAGCCACTCCCATGAGATTTTTGTTAAAACGTTTGCTGAGCACTATTTGCACAAACATCAAAAGAACTGCTCAAAAATGTTCAAACACCAAGACCTTTTGATAGAACCATGAGTAGAAATCCTTGAAAATTTAAAGTAAACGCTGTGACATAACTAAAAGCTAGATTTGACCTGTGTTGCTCTTTTAAAACCGTAAAAGTTTGAAATAAAATGTTATTTTTTTTAATGTTAAAGAAATTAATTCTGGTGATTGTAAACTTCCTCTTGAAGGTCATTGCGAGGGGCTGAAGACTCATCAGCATATCTTTATGCATTCGTATTTCTTAACACTCATCATGAAAACAAAGTCAATCCGTCAGGCTTTTACTGGCGGGTTACAGACAAGATGTGCTTGTCTGGACATATTTGATCCGACCAAACCCACGTTGTCCTTCTCAGCCTCCCCAGCAGAACGCAGCCAGAGGACAGAGACAGATTTACACATCTCTATTTCTGTCCCACTGTCACCCCCTCACAGCTGAACTCACTTTGGTCTGTTTCTCTCTGGTGGTATCGCTAAATGTTGAGTTTTGCTCCATTTAGACACAAATGATTCATAAAGAGGTGGACAAATAATGACATCTGATTTAAAAATCACTTTAATCCAGTTCCTGAGCTTCCTTGTTTTCTCTCTGTGCTGTAAACATCACCACATTAGTGAGGGAAGGCAACAACACCAGACGTTTGTCAGGGCTCATTAGTCAGGACAATTGCATGCTGGGAAAGTATGTCCACTATGAAGCAGGGAGGGTTTCACAACAGCTCGGTGGAGATGAAGAATGTTTTCTAAGAAATTCAATTTAAAGGCACCTGCTGACAGCATTGAATTCTTTGAAAAGTAACCATAAAAACAAGCTACTTGAGCAAATTCTACTAATAAAAGGTTTCTTTTTGTTTGTTTTGGGGGATATGGAGTACTGAAGGATGCGAGAGGATCACCATCTGCTAGAGTCATCATGAACCAAATTATGCAAAACAGTTAAATGATATACAGAGCTCTCAGTTCGAACTTCTTTCTTATTTTATCAACACAACACAACTCAGCCTTTATTTATAAAGCACCTTGCAGGCATGAGCATGCCACCAAGGTGCTGCACAACAAAAGAACAAAACAATAAAACATATAGCGCCACAGACATAATTAAAACCACAAATAAGAATTACAAAATATAAAACATTAACAATTGCTAACCCACAGAATTAAAAGCCAGATCATAAAAGTTGGTTTTCAGCCTCATTTTAAAAACTACTACTGATGGAGAGCCCCTAATAGTTAGGGGCAATGAGTTTCACAGTTTCGGACCCGCAACAGAGAACGCCCTGTCCCCTCTCAACTTCAACCTGGCCTCAGGAGCCACAAGTAGCAGCTGGTTCTCAGAGCGAAGTGACCGGGCCGGAACATATGGCTGCAGCATCTCCGCATCGTTATCATTATCGCATCATTTCATTCAACTGCTGAACACTGACTGAACTCACCTTTGCATGTGAAACACCTGATGTGGAAGTATCTGCTCTGCACCCGTAGCACCTCTCCTTTACAGACCCCCCCACACCTGACACACTGGACGATCTGCTTCCCTGCTGGCGATCCAGACTGGGAGCTGTCCTGAGAGTGCAACACTGGAGAGGCAAAAAATTGGAATCAGTCAGTCAAGCCCAGGTCGCTTTGTTAGAAAATGTATGGTTAGAGATGCACAGCATGAATTCTACTTTTTATGTTTGCCTTTTGAATAAATGTCCTCTGTTTTGCAGATTTGTTAATTACATTTAAAATGTTTTATAATGCATGACTGAAACCCCCCTCAGAACCTGTGTTTGCTTTGTGTTTGTGGAGGAACACATGCAGACTGGGTTCATTTTGAGATGAGAACACTTACAGCACAAATGTAGTCAGACCATGGACGTGGTGTTAGGGGAGACAGGAGGCATGTCCCCTCCACACTTTTTCCAAAGTCAATTTTTTGTCCCTTGCACTTTTTAACTATCCAAAAACAATATTACACTATATTAAATAGACACTGGTTGAGCACTAGGACCAAGAAAAAAACAACCGCTTGTGTTGAAGCCGGTTTCCCATTAGAATCGTCCATAAGCTCATCTATTGGCTCTGCTGATACTTGCTAACGTGTGATTGGCCGTTCCTGCCACCTGTGCTCTTGACAGTTCTGCATTCCTGGCATTGCATAAAAGAGCCTCTAGCATAGGCGTCATTTTAACCGGGGACACCGGGGACATGTCCCCGGCAAAATTTGTGATTGGCAGCTGTGTCCCCCCCACATTCAAAAACGCCTGCTGATGAGGATTTTTGTTTTACCAGCTCAGATCTTATCCAGGGGTCGGCAACCTGTTCCCATCAAAGAGCCATTATTACCCATTTCCCACAGTAATTCTGGACGGACCTTAATAAGCAGTGACTTAAGTGAAGCAGGCAGGTCGCGCTAGAAAATTTAGTTTTAAAAGACGTCATAAATGTTTCCCCCGTCATTTTTATTTATAAAATATGAAGTAAAAACTCACAATTTAATTTTCATTCATTTGTCATTAATATGTAGTCTACACCCGTGCGTTAAGTGGACCATCTTCCAGTAAACGCACAGCATCCAGCCCACCTCTCCAAATGCGTAAAATGTGCGTCAGCCGCTAGTTAGGCGCGCCGCGCGCACCGTCAGCTACGTCAGCCCAGACAAGAGTAGAGCAACTAGAGAAAGAATAGAGGATAATTGTGTCTGGATGTGGATGGAGATTACATTTTACAGCAGCCTGATCATCATTTAAATACGTAAACCATCACCTGTCTTCTAGTCCACGCTATCAGCATTATTTTAATTGGTGTGTGTGTGTGTGTGTGTGTGTGTGTGTTTTCCACTTCAAACACTGGTCTAACCAACCAGACCAGCGTGTCCAGTAACGTATTAATGTTACAATTAAACTGTTTACCTTCATGTAGGCTAGGAACATTTCACCTGCCGTGGCCCGACCGCTTCTGCTCCACATAAACTTTGTGCGTAATCAAATGTCTCTACGCGTCATGCGTCTCCATATTAGAGACGGGAACAAGCGCTGTTCAGCCAAAGTTTCATAATTTCATAAAAAGAACATTTTTCCAAGTGACACATCCCTCAGAGAGACCGGGTTTCCAGACTGTTTCAGTGGGAGGAAATCATCGCATGCACCGTGGTTCTGCGCTGCGAACCCCTCAGATCTTCAGCTCACTGTCCACCGTGGGCGCTCCGAGCCACGCTTAACCAGTATAAAGCTCTGATGTTCTGATGGGAATATTTTACCTCCGCGATGTGCGTTAACATTAAAATGTCAACTCATCCATGAGCATCAGTGTGCGTCGGGGTGATTATTTCAAACCAAGCAACATCCTTGAGTTCATCTGTCAAAATAAAAAGTCAAATGGAAATATCTGTAACCTGCCGTTTAACTGTTTTGCCTTCTTGTGAAGATTGTTGCAAAGAGAAACAATTAAACTTGATTAACCCCAGAGCCACCCAGAGCGCATGTGGGAAGGTTCCTCCCACTGAAGCGAGTGTTTTCCAAACCCTGTCTCTCAGAGAGACTTGTCACTTATAGAAAATGTTCCCTGATGATGAAACTTTGGCTGAATAGCGCTTGTTCCTGTCTCCAATGTGGCGACGCATCCAGGAGCCGTCTGAGGAGAATCCCAGAATCTCACATCCTCCAGCTCATAAAGCGCCTATGATTACGCACAAGCGTGACGCGTCAACCCGGTCTCACAGTAAGACCGGGTTGGACCTGTTCAGGTTTACGCAGACAATATTTACATTTAGAATTGGCATACAGATGTTAAATTAATGCAGTAAAATATAAAGCATTTTATTTAAATATCCATTCATTATTTTACAAACACAGAGAGCCGGATGGAAGAGCCGCATGCGGCTCCAGAGCCGCCGACCCCTGTGCTAGCCTACTTTATTGTCCCCAGCAATTTTTAAACCCCACTCAAGTGTATGGTTATTGTCCCCAGCAATTCTGAAAACAAACTGACGCCCTTGGCCTCTAGGCTGTAGTTTAATACACATTTTTGTATACTTTTTTTATTTACACACTATGTTCTTCATTTCAAGCATGACTTTGAGTAAGTTACTCATACACCTAAAGATAAAAACTAGTGGTGGGAATATAACGGGTTAATTATGATTATTTAATTGGAGAAACTGGGGTACACTGGTCATAAAGGGATGGGCATGGTCAGCAACAATACTCAGGTAGGCTGTGGCGTTGCAACGATGATCAGTCAGTACTAAGGGGCCCAAAGTGTGCCAAGAAATTGTCCCCCACACCATTACACCACCACCACCACCAGCCTGAACTGTTGATACAAGGCAGGATGGATCCATGCTTTCATGTTGTTGACGCCAAATTCTGAGACTCATCAGACCAGGCAACATTTTTCCCAATCTTCCACTGTTCAATTGTGGTGATCCTGTGTGACTTGTAGCCTCAGTTTCCTGTTCTTAGCTGACAGGAGTGGCACCCAGTGTGGTCTTCTGCTGCTGTAGCCCATCTGCCTCAAGGTTCGACATGTTGTGCATTCAGAGATGTTCTTCTTCATACCTCGGTTGTAACGAGTGGCTGTTTGAGTTACTGTTGCCTTTTTATCACCTCAACCCAGTCTGGCCATTCTCCTTTGACCTCTGGCATCAACAAGGCATTTTGCCCACAGAACTGCCGCTCACTGGATGATTTCCCTTCTTCTGACCATTCTCTGTGAACCCTAGGGATGGTTGTGTGTGACAATCCCAGAAGATCGGCTGTTTCTGAAGCTTTTGTCTGTCTGGCACCAACAACCATGCCACGTTCAAAGTCACTTAAATCACCTTTCTTCCCCAATCTGAAGCTCGGTTTGAATTGTAGCGGATCGTCTTGACCATGTAAACATAGCTAAATGCACTGAGTTGCCACCATGTGATTGGCTGATTCGTAATTTGTGTTAACAAGCAGTTGGACAGGTGTACCCAATAAAGTGGCCAGTGAGTGTATTACACATAAGCATGTTTAAGACAGACTGTTTAGGAATAAAAGAGAAGAATGTCAGACTGGTTTTTGTCCTTTTTATCTCTTTCATGCTTGTTTGGCAGCAGAAGCAGTGGATGCCTGCACAATCTAATCAGTCCACTTGAGAAGTCCTCACAGTGATTAGTAGCAGCAGCAGCATAGGAATGTGGCTTGTTGAGAGAGAGAGAGAGAGAGAGAGAGAGAGAGAGAGAGAGAGAGAGAGAGAGAGAGAGAGAGAGAGAGAGAGAGAGAGAGAGAGAGAGAGAGAGAGAGAGAGAGAGAGAGAGAGAGAGAGAGAGAGAGAGAGAGAAACACGAAGCACACAGCTTTAGGAAACTTTATCTTTTCATTTCTGAAGGTCTGCATCCCTCACTTGTGCAGAAAACCTCACCAGCTAAGAACGCCACTGAAAATATACCACAGACAAGCTGTGCTGACACGGAGGGGGTGTGTTGGCAAACAAACACGCAGCTTCAAGTTGAAATCGTTCCAAACTCAGTTGTCCGCCCGACAACAAGGATGGATTTGTTACCTTGGTAGCGAGCAGGCAGCACAAACCAGATTAGGAATCTATGTCTCACTGAGGTTTTAGTCTGTGTGATTCTCTTTGTTTCACAAAGATTATTAATCACTGTTCATGGGATTGCCTTCCCGTTTTATACAATGTAAATCCAAGGAATGTAAAAATCTCATGCAGGATGAGAAGCTGATCTGGTGTCAGGTATTAGCAATCTGTGGGTATAGAATGGAGAGAAACCCGAGACGACCAGCTGATCACACAGCCCGCTATTTTCAGCCATAAAAATCACGCGTGTGCTTGAGGAACGGGAGTGAATCTGTTTAGGTTGTTGATGGAAGTTTTAATAATCTGTTGCAAGGATGGTTTTGATTATAATTTTGTATAGTAAACTTCATTCTGCTGGAGTAGAGTTTGGGAAGTTTAACCTTTTCTTCCGAACTTGACATCAGAGCCAAGTAAAAACATTTAGATACAGCAATATTGAAAATGTTAAATAGGACTAAAAGAAAAACCAAACAGGAAACTATTTAAGACTTCTAGATCATATTAGAGAATCGTGCTTTGCCAAAAGGAAACAGTCCATTTCTCAGTTCTATAATCAGATCTGCTGCTGCAGTGAAACATATTTCCAACATCACATGCTGGTTTTACCTAAACCACTGCTGCCCGTGCTCTTTTACCTACTTGGCAAGCACAATTCTTACCACAAAACTTAGTTTCTGGTATGTTCGCAACTCACATATAACACATTTAAAGCAGATATCAAGAACATAATAAGGTTATGGAACTGATTCCTAGAATCTCCCCAGAAAATGCGATGCTGTCCCACTAATGACACCAAAGAATGATGGCATCCCACACAAGCTTAAAACACCAGAACTGCACCTTTACCATAGCATCACAACAAAAAGCCAACAAAAACAATGAGACTGTGTGATATCTGCTAAGTCAAATATGCTATGAATGAAGCTCAAAGAAATCCTGTTGGAATGGTTAAAAGTAGACGCACACAAGCACACACACACACACACACACACACACACCTACCTGTTTGTCTCATGATTGCTGGTCTCTCTACGGTTGGTGCCGATCAGAGTGAAGAGAGTTTACTGACGGGACTGCAGGCCCAAGAGAGAAGGGGTGGTCTAAATACAAAGGGGGCCTGACACTCTTTCTTTCCGCGTGTGTGTGTGTGTGTGTGTGTGTGTGTGTGTTTTCGATCCCCAGACTTTCGGGTGAGAGTCACGCGCGCTAACCAGTCAGCCAAAGGGACATCCTCTTGGCCTAGTAGCTAGGGCGCATGATCAATCGGGACACTGTGACAGGATGCTCACACTGTCACAAAATTATAAAAATGAAAGTTTGGTCAGATCTTTAAAACTCTCATCCACATGGTCAGTCAGCTCTCTAAGTGTTGTGAACAACTGTCTTCTACTGACACAGACAAGCTAATGTCGGAGTTTCAAACCCAGATGTAGTGTAACACTCATGTTATATGTAGAGGATGAGTCCCAACTACTAGATTATTACATTTAGCCTCAAAATCAGTCTGACTGAGTTGCAGTCATTTGCATGGCATTGACTTCAGCAGGTAATGATTTCTAGTAATTATTTTCATGAACCCTTTATTTCTAAAGATAATGTGTTATGATACACAAGTTTCTTACAGCTCAATCTCTTAAACAGGATTAGTAGAGTCCTAAATGTCTGAAGTTTAATTCTGTACAAGTCTCCTGCCACCTTGAGGATGATCTTCTGAGTTCTTTTCATTTGTCTCAATGGGCTGTAGGCCCTGTGCACGTGCAAGGACACACCCTGGACCTGGTGATTTCCTCTGGTCTTCATGTCAATATTAAAATTATGAGCCCTGTATTTTCTGATCACCAACCAATTTTATGTGATTTTTATTTGCCTGCTAGACCTGTGGTAGTTCCCCCCCTTTGAGGCATACTCGTATTTTAAAATGATGTTAAGGTTGCACAGTTTGCTGAGGCCTCATCTTCTGAGTCTGACAGAATCTGCTCATTGACTCTCAGCACTGATGAACTCCTGTCACAGTGGACGTCATATATATATACTGGACATCATCTTCCCTATAAAAGTGAAGGCTCAGAGCAGAACCTTGGCTGTCTGACCACACTCGGGCTTGTAGACAGGTTTGTGGGAAGACTGAAAGGAAATGGAAAAGAGATGGTCTCCACATCTCCTGGGAAATGTATAGGGATGCGCTATTTGCTTATCAGGATTCCATTGAACAGGCTGAGACTCTGTTTTTTGTTGATCTGGTGGCACAAAATTCTCATGATGCATGTGTCCTTTCCAGGGTTCTGAATTCTGTTTTGGACCCGTCTTGACACGTGCCAACATTCTTCTACTAACGGGACATCTGATGATTTAATAATTATTTTTGTTGAGAAGGTGCAGGGCAACGATTCCTGCCTCTCCAGTACTCTGTGTGCAGCCTCTTGTCCGGTGTTGTTCCAGCCAATTTGAAGAAAACTGTGGTTCAGCCAATATTAAACAAGCTGGGACTAGATCTCTCGACGCTAGCGAACTACAGACCGATCTCGAAGCTTTCATTTCTCTCAAAGATACTAGAGAAGGTTGTCTATACACATCTCCTTGATTTTATGATTGAAAATGATCTAATGGAAATGTTTCAGTCAGGCTTTAGGGCAGGACAGAACACTGAAACCGCTCTTTTGCTGGTCTTGAATGACATATTTTGGCCAGTGATGCAGGCAGTGCTGTTGTACTACTTTTACTGGATTTGATGGCAGCCTTTGATACAATTGATCACACAATGCATCGTTTAAAGCAGTGGGTTGGGATTACAGGCTTGATCTTCCAGTGTTTGCAATCCTATTTGGTCAATAGGAGTTTTCGTGTTTGGAAAGGGGAGTCCCCCTCAGCCTGGGGACACATCAATTAGGGGGTCACACAAGGCTCTGTCCTTGGCCCCCTTTTGTTTGTGATCTATCTCCTACTGTACCATTGGGAGCAATACTTAGGAAACATAATGTGAAATTCCGCTTTAACGCCAGTGATTGTCAGCATTACCTGCCACTTTGCCAGGGGCTGGGTGGCTCGCTTTCACCACACCTTGATTGCATGGAGGAAATTAAGTTATGGATGAGCTCCAGTTATTTGCACTTAAATAAAAGCAAAACTGAGGTTATTTTGCTGACTCCTGGTAGGACTCCATGTACAGCCTCTGAGGTTGACCTCTCTTCATTAGCCCCTCGTGTGATGACAGTTGTCACAAACATGAGTAAAATTTGATGCTGCTCTCAGGTTTGATACACAAATTTTGATGTATATATATTTTATTTTCTTCAAAAAGGCCACTCTTTGCTCTGATTACTGCTTTGAGGTGTCCTTCAAGACTGTTGGAAAACCATTTCAGATGACTATCTCTTGGAGCTCATCAAGAGAATACCAAGAGTGTACAAAGCAGTAATCAGGGCAGAGGGGGGCTACATTGAAGAAAATAGAATAGAAAACATGTTTTCAGTTATTTCACCTTTTTGGTTAAGTACATAATTCCTCATGTGTTCATTCATAGTTTTGATGCCTTCAGTGAAAATCTACCAATGTAAAAGGTCATGAAAATAAAGAAAACACATTGAATGAGAAGGTGTGTCCAAACTTTTGGCCTGTACTGTACATCACAGCCTCATTACTGAGCAAGTCACACCCTAGCAGAGTCTAACTCCACTCTCATCTCTTATTAGAAAAATGCACCACAAGGAGACATTGCCTGGCAGACTGAGAGGGTGGAGCCGCTAATGAATACACACACAGGCTCACAGCGACATTGTGACATCATATGGTACCAGCTAATGTCATACCTCTAGCCAATAGCAATGGCAGATTTAAATTCAAATGTAGTGCAGAATTTTTACCTGAAGAGGGCGCAACACTGACAGTTTTAGGCAGAATAGTTCAATTTTAACTAAGATGCACTTAAGTGCCAAATTATTGACTATGCGAGTCTACAGCACGATTAGACACTCATTTATATAGTTTATCAGCAAAACAAAGTTTATTTGGGGATGACTTGCTCTTTAATAACTGCATTATTAACTGATGATTAGTTATATACAAGGCTAGTCTCTTTGTACAGTTGTATTGAAATCTAACTGGAAAACAATAGATGAGAAATAACATAAGACCTGACAGCTCTGCAGGAATACCCGCCAGCTTCTCACACAGGATGTAGTCATCGGGGTTGATGAAGGGCAGCTGCTCCATCATGTACTGCTTTGGGATCAGGTAGAGGACCTCGGCAAGATGCCCGTCCTCGATGATCGACATGCGTCTCACAGAGTTCTTCCTCTTGACCCGATCCAGGACAACCATGTCGCTGCTCTGGCTGGAGCCACAGATCCTGCCGAGGCTGTTGAGGTTGAGGAGGTTCGACCTGCTCATGTCGACGAGGCTGACGACTGATCTCCAAGTTTGAAATCATAAAGCAGGGCTGGAGAAGTCAGAGCTTTCCTCTGGGTGGAAGGTATTAAGCTGCTCTCTGACTCACTATGATTGACCGTGTGTGTGTGTGTGTGTGTGTGTGTGTGTGTGTGTGTGTGTGTGTGTGTGTGTGTGTGTGTGTGTCCATCAGGCAAAGGCTAACACCAACCACAAGCCCCCTAAGAAGATTAAGTGAGGTATATTTAGGGTTTATCTTCATTGCAAACGGAGCTCCAGGAGTCTCCTGGAAGTCAGGTAACCCTCTTCCACCAAAGGAAGTCATCTCCTGCAGAAGCTAAGTGATCAGGGGCTTTTAAAGAGGATTACAAGCCATCCTTTTTTCGTACAATTGATGTATGTATGAGTTTAAGTATATTCATTCAATGTCCATGATAAGAGTTGGATTAGAACTGGAAATATGGACATCTGGTCACAAGCAAAATCATATTTGAAACATTGCAGCAACAATAAACTGATTGTTTTGTTATGATTCAGCTTAAAAACCCCAACTGGAACAAAAAGAGCTGGGAGGCCAGACAAAGGAGCAGCCATCATGCTCCAGCAGAGGATTGGAGCGTTGCTCAAGGGCAGACAGGACTCAGACAAATTTAGAAACCTACAAGTGTTGTGTTAAGTTTTCATTTAACGCAGGTCACAATCATAGCTCAGACTCCTATAGTAATGCAAACCAGCTGGGAAATAAAAAAATCTAAACGGACCCAGGTGAGTGTGAATTATAAGAGCTTAAAAATAAAATCAGATTTTTGCTTCTATTTATTTCAAATGTAAAACTTGCCTTGTGAAAACAGATTAATTAAAATAATAAATTCATGCATAATGATTTTTTTGAAAAGCAATAAAGGGGGCAGAGTTGCAAATCCGGAGACTGGAGCAACATAAGTGACTAGTGAAGGAGCTGGTGCTGAATGATTTATGCAGTGAAAGAGAAGTGATCGTACTTTATCTCCGTGAAATCCCACAATGACGCATCAGATTAATGATATTTTAGTTTCAGGCAGAAACAGGAAGTCATCGCAAAATACTGATGAAGCAGCAGCTGACTCCAGTCAGTGGCCGTCTCTAGAAATGTGAGAGGAGCGCCACCTGCTGGAAACTTTGTACTTGACCTGAATGGAAAAGCAGAACGCTTCTTCATCAAAAATGATTTCTAACAAATGTACGGCTGCAGGTTCTACAGGTCTCTTGGTGCTGCTGAGGAGTTTGGTTTTCATTATAGCAAAAAGGAGATCTTTTAATCTCATTTAATTCATTCTCTGAAACATTTGGGTAGGAATGACAATATGGCCTAAAATTAAGGGGCAACAACCGCTCAGGAGGCAGAGCGGGTTGTCCAGCAATCGGAAGGTTGCAAGTTCGATTCTGGCTACGACACTTGGGCCAGACACTTAAAGCTCCTTGCCCACTGTTGCTGGTGGTCAGAGGGACTGGTCGCGTCTGTGCTCTGCAACCTCGCCTCCATCAGGGATCCCCAGAGCAGCTGTGGCTGCACTGTAGCTCATCATCAGCGTGTGAATGAGTGTGTGAATGGATGAATGATACACTGTATTGTAAAGCACTTTGGAGTCCTCTGACTCTGAAAGGGGCTGTACAAGTAAAGGTAATTTATCTTTTAAAATCTATATCTTGAAATATTTTTAGCAATTTGTAACGATATAAACTGGGGACATGATTAAATTGTACAGTTTAAAGATTATTTTTCTTATATTATTCTTGTTGGATTAAAAGGGAGTGGCAAATAATTGCTTTGGCAGAAAAACCTCGTGTCACTCTAATTACATTTACATAATCACTGAAAAAGCAACTTTGGTCAATGGAGACACGCTCATTTGGCTGACCTGTCCTCTTTAGGAAGTCAGAAAACTTTTACAAAATTATTTTTTATTTATGTTTGTGTGTCATAATGCAAAGGAATATAAACCTTTCCATTTCTTGTTTTAAAATGAATTTTGTCAACCTGTGGGAGGAAAAGTGCACCAAAGTCAGAAAATCACCCAGTTGTGGTAATAAAATGTATTCCAGTACATTTCTGCAAATTTAATCAAAACCAAAAACATACAATTGAAAGTTCATTTAAAAACATGTATTATGGCTCATTATGGTCATTAGCAAAATCCTTACAAGCACCATCATGGAAGTTTTAATACAAGGTTGTTTAAAAAATGGTTACAGTTGAATTATTGCTAACATTTCTGTTCTTCCCTTTAAGATCAGGAACACACACATTCATACATAATGACCAGTAGAAGGTCGTAAATACGCTTTAACTTTTGATCATTCACTAGTTTCATTGAACAAAACCTAAAATCACTGGTTCGGCTCCGTCTTGGGCAGATGCAGATTTAAAATCTAAACATTTGTGCTGTCCAATCATTCAAGTTTTAAATATCGCAGGTGAAAATCAATTATTGCTAAACCAGTCCCTGCAAATGTTCATTTAAATACAGATCAGAATCAATTAATCTGGGGGAAACACAGACAAAATAAGGAAATGTGCAAAGCAAAAAGTTAGGAACCAACACACTTTTATCCAATACAAAAAGAGAGTTGGGTAACCTTCCATAAATGCTATAATTGCTAATTTCCCTTCAATGTGAGACAGAGTGTGAAATAAATAACAAAAAACTATTAAAAATGTGACTTGCAACCCTAGGAATCAACCATGTGTGACGCTGGTGACATCTAGTGGTTAAGTTATAGATTGCAACAAAGTGAATATGACACCATTCCCTTTCATAGTGAGTTTCAGACACAAAAATATAATTAATAGTAGTGATTGCTTTGATAAAGTGAAAGAACTGATCTAGAGTGCCTGGTTTAGCGGTTTTGGACTCTAAAAATCTTGCCAACACCAAAACTTTAGTCTATCGTAAAAAAAATATATAGTTCAGAGCATTAAAATGCATTTGTCGCCAAGATTACTTTAAATCTCTATTTAAAATGTCAAAGTTTCAGATTAGATGCTTTAAAAAAACATGTTTATAAATGTTTCCATGTAACAGTCTTCAGTAAATATATAATCAGATGGTTCTGCCTGAAGTTTAAAAGTTGCTGTTTCTCAGTGTCATAAAATGTTGCCAAGAATGATGTCATGAACAAAAAAGGCCAGGAGATTTATGACCACATATGAGCACAGTGTGGCGTAGAGTAAAATCAGTGAGACGATCGTTGTTGTGTTGAGGCTAACGTACAAAAATTCAATAAAAAAGTTGATTTAAAAAGAAAAACCTCACGAATTGATAGACCTGACAGCACCATCACGGTTTTCACGTGGCTCTTCCTCCTCTCTGCGGATGAGCGGCTCTCGTTCGGAGTTGCTCTGCATCTGCCCTGACCTCTTGGTCGTCTTGTTCAGAGTTCCCCCCTGCAGACACACATTTTAACACGGTTTGCTACAAGAAGCTAACTGATTGCTGAAAGGTAGATCGTGAAGAAAGTCTCACCTGTTTGTGATCAACGATGTTGAGCAGCACGGAGGTGATGATGCAGCCGAAGGTGTTGGCCAACATGAAGATCATCATCCTCTGCCAGCGCCACAGCGGGATCTTACTTTCACTAACCCAAAGCAGGTGGCGGAAAAAGTTTAAAACAAAACTACAAGAGTTTCAAAATAAATCCTGACCTGATTTCATTCACTGGTTAATATCGCCCTTTACTAAACAGCCAAACAGACAGCCAAGTGTAAATTAAAACCAGAAGAGTCTAAAATGATTTGTTAAAAACACAAAAACAAAAGAGCAGAATGAGACAGAAATCTGTGATGAAAGTCACACAGCTACTGAATTATTTTCCACTACCTTGAGGAGGTGCCCAAAATCTGACCGACGACCAGATTGGACACGCCAATCCCAACCATCTGTATGGAGGTGGCGAGGCCCATAGCAGTTCCCAAAGTCGCCTGAGGTACAACCAGAGGAATGGAAGGCCACATGCTGGCCTGGAGGACAACACAGAGGAACAGCCGAGTCGTCATTAACAGAAATTATAAAAATAACAACAGGAAATGCGTGCGAGTCAAACTCACAGCAGCAAAGGAGTAAGTGACTCCGAGCCAGATGGTGGAAACCAGAGGAGGGACGAAGGTGAAGGCCAAGAGTCCAAACACTGGCAGTGTGAAGACGGCACAAGCCACTGCAAAAACACCTCGCAGACCCACATAATCCTACAAAAATGTACAAACCACGTTAACTCTGCAGAATACACAGCAGAACGGACGCAAGTTCAGAAGACACACTCACAATAAGAATCCCCACACAAGCTGAGAGGACCAGAGAGCTGTCGTACACCGCCCCCGCAACATAGGCCGCCTCCTTCTGACTGTAGTCGCTGTACTTATCCTGGATGAATTTACTAGAGAAAAAAAAACACTATTTGTGATTTCTTTAACCTGCAGTAAATAACTGAACTGTATTTTTTGTGAATATAAGTGGATCGAAATAAAAGGATCCTACTAGAGGCCAACGGATATGTTTTTTATTTAAGGCCGATACAGATTTTTAAAGTGAGGGTCAAGGCATGGGTGGAGACGTTTTTCATCCACACTTCCTGTTAGGAAAACGCTTCTGAAAGAGGCGTCGCCTGGTAGACTGAAGGTTGGTTTATGCTTGACGCGCCCGCGAGGTCCGCACGGCTCCGCGCGGAAAAGTTGCGTCATTTTAACAACCACGCCCCTCCGCCGCACCTCCGCACGGCCCAGAATTTCCGCAACGCGCACCTCGGAAAATTTCTAACCACGCGGACGGACGGACGCAGAAAAACATGGCGGACCGGCAAGAACTAGTACGGCAGAGGTTCGTAAATACAGACATTTGTATGATTCAGCTCTCAGAGGTCACCGTGATCAGCATGTTGTTAATAGTTCTTGGAGAGAAACAGCTCGCACTGTCGGAAAAGACGAGGACGCTGTTAAAAATGCTGAAATGCCATATTGTAAACAGTAATTTCTACTTCTACTATGGTGTAGTGTTGAATGCATGCCGTAGAGCTCCATGCTGCCCCGTTCAGTTTGGGAGAATATTGTCTCACCGCAGAGACGAGCCACACGAACCATAAATGCTGCGAGATGTGAAGCGCGTTCCATCCGCGAGCCGCATCACCGCGCGGAAAGTGAATGCGTCAAGCATAAACCAAGCTTGAGAGAGCGACACTGAGGCAGTGGTAGGCCACACCCCCCTCAACTCCCCCGTGTGTGCTGTCAGAGTTTCACAATCTAAAAACCAGTTGTTAACGGGTGCGTGCGCACTCGCACGTGCACACACTCACACAAGACCTACCGCTCAGGAGAAGAGCAGACACAGATTCTGCAGCTTTCTGGAGGATTTCCTGTTAACCACGATCATTAGCTGAAATGGGGGGGGGGGGGGGGGGGGGGCATTTGGTTCAAGGTGGCAGTTGTATTTTTTATTTTTATTTTTTAATCGGCTCTAATAAATAATTTCAGCCAATATAGAAAGAATTGAATATATCGGCACCGATGCATCGGTCAGCCTCGTCTAGATCCTACCTGGCATCAGCGATGAACGGGAAAATGCCGTTGTAGAAGAACATGATGGTCAGAACCAGCAGCCAGTATCTCAATGACAAAAGCTTCACATCCTGGACCCTCTATATATACACACACAAACACACACACACAAACACATATTACCTCCAGGAGGCTTTAAAAGTTTTCATTTAAATAATACCCTCTCAAACATTTGGGTCATACCACTTTGCGAGACTCCTCCTGGATGGCTCCATCGAGACCCAGCTGCTTCATTCCAACCTTGTCTAAGACGCTCACTACGATGGCCGAAACAAAGCCAAGCACACATAGGAGGGCGCCTAGAAAACACACAGTAACATGTGGCCATGTGGAGAGTCAATTCCTTATTGTACCTACAAAGTTACTCCTCAACATACCACCCCAAAGTGTCCACTGCATGCCATATCTGACTTCAAACCTCTCGGTGAGGAAGAAGTTCAGGACTGAACCGAGGCGAGAGAAGGCCAGGGTCAGACCGAAGGCCAGAGCCAGCTCTTTCCCTTTGAACCAGAAGGCTGTGATGCGGTTCTGTACAACTACGAAGGAAGAAGGGGTTTAGCGATGATTCTCAGCAGTAGTGTTGTTGTGAAATATGGAATGTCCTTACTGGTCAAAGATCCATTGCCTGATCCAAACAACAAGCGGCCTGTGAGCATAAGTGGAAGGAGGTAGGGAGTTCCCTTGAAGTGGGAGCCCAGAGCGAACAGGGACGAGCCCAAAACGCACAGGAAAGAAAACAAAAACACTCCAACTGCAAAAGAGCAAAGAGAAGGAAATAGTAAACAATCACTATTTAAAAATCTGCATCACCATAAACAGAACTCAAATCACACGCAGACTTACAGCGATTTCCTAATTTATCAATCAGGAATCCTGCCAGGATCACCACCACTGCATTCCTGTGGATCATTGCGAGATAGTTTCAGAAAAAGCAGCACGTCAGCATTTGTGCAACCTGATCGACGAGCGCGCTCACGTCCAAGCATATATGGCGTAGAGAAGATTATACTGCTGAGGGCTCATCCCCAGTCCCTCCACACAGTCCACTGTCCCATTGATTACTGTTGCATTGGGGCATGTAAGGTTCTGTCATATGAGACACACACGGGAGGAAATTAATCTGCATCTGGCAACAAACATCTGACAAACATTAACTCAGATTATGTAGTCTTGCCTCCAGCTTACCCCTTGAAACTGTTCCTGCAGAACACTGGGGATGTCGAAGCAGAAGTAGGACCCGAATGTCAGCAGGCAGTTAAAAAACAGCACGACAAAGCGATAATACACTGAAACAAGAGATTAGATGGTCTCAGATTTAGCAGTCATCACAAAGTCCAGCATGAATCTAGAGCTAAATATTTGCTCATCAGGGTTAAATTAAATTAGCCAAATTAACTCACTTATTGTCTTATTTTAAATGTATTCTTGGTGGAAAGTAAAAATTCAAATATTTTGTTTCAAGATTAACATTTAAATCATCTATTTTTTATTAGCTAAAACGGGACGTTTACGTCCATAACTGGCACGAAAACATTATTAAAATGAACTAATTAGTGAGAGAAAACACACGTCAGAAACAATTGGGAAACTTCCCGTTAAGTCACATGAACTATTCCCAACATTAAAACGCTGACTTGGTCTTTCAGTGGCCCGTTTTGTGCGTTTGGGGCTGATGAGTTGTTCGATTTAGGAAAATAAATAATTGTAGAGGCTATAAAGAAACACGTACCTTTCTCCGCCGGTTGAGTCATAGTTTGAAGAAATGTGCTGCAATAAAAACTTAATAAAAGAAGTAAATTCTCATATTATTTACAACATGGATAAACTGATGTAGCAGAAGCTTCGCGCTAGCAAGACGAACCACCGGATCACTTAACGTGACAAACAGCGCAGCACTTAAAGACATACAGATGGGATAAAACGTATACGTGATGATGCAACGCTTAGCTTAGAAATCAGCGCAAAACATGAGCTTTTTTTCCGCGTCGTTTTGAATTCACTAATCTTTATTGACAAACTGTGAGACAATGAACAATTAGCTGTTTACATTGCAGATGGGATGTTCTGTGATATAGCTGAATGTAAACAATCCTAACCCCACGATGTGCTACATATGTTGAAATATAAATAATCTAGTATATGTAAATATAAATATATTTTTAAAAAGTGTATTATAAGAGGTGGAAAGAGCATTAAAATGTCCTGCTTAAGTACGAGTACCAATACTTTGATAATTTTTACTCAAGTACAAGTAAAAGTACTTGCCTAAATTTTTACTCAAGTAAAAGTAAAAAGTATCGTAAATAAAATGTACTCAAAATAAAAGTTACTTCATTACATTTTTATCAGCGTAAGGATGGCTACATCTGAGTAGTGAAAAATCACAACACCAGTTCACAATTCGCTCGTGTGTGTGTGCGCGCGCACACACACACACACACACACAAGTTTGATGGAGGGATTTCTATCCAGTCAGTGAGAACAGAACATTTTTTTTACGATTGTAGGTTTCAATTGTGGTAAAAATTATTCTTTATTTATTTACTTCTTAGATGTATTTTCTCTCTTCAATTGCTGACAAACACAAACTCGTGAAAAACAATTTGCTGTAACTTTCATAAGTGTTATTTGGGTTACTGCTTGTCTAGCAGGACTTGTGAGGCTAGTGTCTTACATCAGTTTGCTGAATTTTGTGTTATAGTATTTAAGAAATGTGCTTTTTTTTAGATCTGGTAAAACTGGAGATGCTTTTGTGGATGGCTGCTAGATCTTATTTATGGCTTTATTTTTATTCTAAGAGGTTTCTTTTCATCTGGTGGAGCAGATAGAGTCTGGTTTAGCATCAAATAAGCAAATTGATTTGGCTTAATAAAAAATAACAGTCATTAAAAGAATACAAATCTGGAACGCACAAGGCCGTTACAGCAAATCCAGAAATGACAGGTGGTGAGAGCTTATAAACAACATAAAGAAGAAAAATTGGAGAAGGCAGAAAGATGGAGGCAAGTCCATAACTACACACCAAACCCCCCCGACCACATTGATGCTTCTGTTAATCGTTCTGGTAGAGCAAATAGAGCACATCACAGTGAGGAAAGGGATATTAGCATGAGCTGATCTGTGCAAGAGACAAGGACGATGACATCATCTTCATTGTGTTTTTGTTTTATTAAATTTTCTGACTAGAAAACTATTCTAAACGTTTGTAGAAAGGTTTGTTTGCAGGTTTACAGTTTTTCTCAGTTGCTTTGGTGCATTTCTCACAACAGAATTAAACTTTGCACAACAGTTAGTTCAACCTCCACAACATGTAGTCATTTTGGCACAGCCAAGTGGCGGTTTCATGTACATTTCATCCAAAGGCAAATGCCTTTGGACATGAAGCAGTTGAGTAAGTACAAATGTCTAAAGAATGGTCACTTTTGACTTGCTATTCATCACTATCTCCTTGCTTTTATCATGAATGTCACAATTATTGATACTTGTACGGACTGAATAGTGATTGTCCTTACAATTAATAGTCTTCATTTCATTGCTTGTGTCATTGCACTCAAAATTGTTGAACTTTTTATCAAACAATTTGTACACCCATTTTGAAAACCCTATTTTTAAGGAGTTTCCATGGAAATCTCCATAAATTACTTTTCTCAGGTGAACCTTATCTCACACTAATGAAAACTGGTGTGTGTCCTGGTGACAATCGGACAATGTATGTAGTGGTTTGGGATAATGTTAGCTTCCATCACTCTGCTGTAGTCAGGCAGTGGTTTGCAGCACACGACAGGATGCTTATGGAGTTTCTTCCTCCTTACACTCAATTCCTAAATCCAATTGAGGAGTTTTTCTCTTCCTGGAGGTGGAAGGTATATGACAGACATCCACATACCCAAATGACCCTGCTAGCAGCTGTGGATGCAGCTTGTGACAACATCACAGCAGAGTCCTGCAGAGGATGGATTCGCCACTCCAGGACATACTATCCTCGCTGCATTGCGAGGGATGACAGCCACTGTGATGTTGATGAAAATATGTGGCCAGACAGACAGGAACGTCTGGATGTGCCAGAATGATTTACTGTACCTGTATGTTACAGTACTGTGCAATACTGTATGTACTGTTACATGTACTGTATATTGTTCACATTTGTGCACAGCTCTACCAAAAGGGTGATTTTATGTTTACATGTTTTCTACAGTAAACAAGTGACTGTAGCATATTTTTCTTTTGCACAATGCTGTAGAAACACTTCTATACAGTAAAAATGTAAAACGTACGTATTCAGTGTCTCAGTTACTCCCAAAACTCCCATAACATCTACAGTAACTTTACTGCACATTTCAAATGGCTGTACAAGTAGGGCATAGTGCTGTCTTGAGCATTTTCAGGTGTCACCAAATATTCTTGCAATGGAAAACACTGAAATTATAACCTGTCATAGTGAAAACATGACAAAGCCATTTGACTATCTTGTTCATAAAGATGGTGTCAAGACTTTTCATTTTGATGGCACCGACAGTTTCATTGACATGAATACTTGCTTTTGAGGAATGGATTATCAATTTTGAGTATGTGACATGCTTTTGCAGGCTATCCACTAGGTTTTGCAGTTTGCACTAATTGTTTTGAGAAATGTACTAACTGCTGTGCAAATGTTAATAGTGTTCTGAGAAACGCACCAAAGCGACTGAGAAAACCTGTAAGAGGGACTCTCCTCCGTGTCCAGGCCTGATTTCACCTCTGTCTTCTGTGCCCCACTGGAGATTCTCTGGGCTTTGTGGTCATGAAGGAACCAGGCAGGATGGGAACAGAGAGAAGGACAGAGATGATTGATTGATTGATTGATTGATTGATTGGTTGATTGATTGATTGGTTGATTGATTGATTGGTTGATTGATTGATTGATTGATTGATTGATATATGATAGATAGACAGACAGACAGACAGACAGACAGATAGATAGATAGATAGATAGATAGATAGATAGATAGATAGATAGATAGATAGATAGATAGATAGATAGATAGATAGATAGATAGATCAGCCAAGGGATCCACATAAATGTTGGCAAAAGGAGATCTGAGGCACTCAGGAGATGCAAAAATAAAAAGCCTTTATTAGTACATGGCTTAAATTGTTAAAAACATCAATGCCCACGCGTTTCAGCCCACAGGGCCTTCGTCAGGGCTCAAAATGTTTGTATACTCACTCACCCCCATGTTAAAAAGGCCAATCAATGACACCTGCCGAAGCTGGGCAGGTAGACTGCATTCTGATTGGATGACCAGTACAACACAAAAACTTTTTAGAGGAGGAGATAGGCTTAAAAAACTCTTGCAAAGAGAATTATTTTGGATTTACACACTAAAAGCTACTAATTTCCCAGGTCTGTACCATATTTATAATTTTTTCTCAAATTCTATAAGTGAAATTTCATATTTGTAAGGATTCATCCTTACAAATGTATACTTTGTTATAAATTTGTTAATGCAAGTATAGTAACCAAAATCCTAATTTCAAGCACTATTATAGTGACACTTTATTGTTCAATTTGTATGCAATTTGTTTGTTTACTCATCACCTTGTTCAATAAAGTTTTTGAAGAAAAAAAAACGTTAGCTCCTATGCCCAAACAGAAAAAAAGCTTGTGTGGACCATACCAATTTGAGAAATGGGAGAGGGGTATTTAATTTTTCAATTATTAAAAACGCGTTGTTACGCGGGTTAACGTGTGCCCCCCCCCCCCTCCCCCCCCGGATTTCTGAAGTGCGCTTTTACTTTGAAAGGTTGGCTTGACAACAGTCTGAGTTGAGCGCGTGGAGGTGAAGTTGCTTCAGCATTCACTGCCGTGATCAGACAGCTTATTCGCCGTTTTCGGAGGGTTTTCATATTGATTAACTTGAGAAAATCTCATCACAGAAAGTGGTAAGTGTTTTTGTTTTTATTATTGAGTTTTTATTATTTATACATTGAGTGTTTGTTCTTTGCTAACTTAACTTGGGCTGATATATGCAATGTCGTTGTAACGGTAATAACTGTAACATTTTGTAAGTTCTGGTGTTTTGGCGAAAAGAAAATAAATTGAACAAGACAGGGGGAACATCTAAAGAAGATTTGTTTAAAGTTACGGAGTTTCCGCAGGTGAAACAAGTGAGACTCCGTAAGTTGAATAACGGAAATAAACGTTAGCAACACATCCGTTGTCCGTTTATTCTGTTTTTAATATCGTAATCCATCTCTTGTTCTTTTCTTACACAGTTTAGTAAAACAAGTTGTTTTTACCACGTTTCAGCTAACTAGCGGAAAAACGGGTAACCCCCCCCCCCCCCCCCCCCCCCCCGAGGGGGATTACATCTAAAAATGGCAGTTTCTCCGGATCAAAACAAAATCTCCACTCATGCTTAAACTGGAGGGTTATCAGAATACCATGCAAAGTACTTGCACCTTTAATATAGCTTCAGGTTTTACTTATTTGAGAATCAATAGTTCGTTTATGGATATTGCTTCATTTGTTTTTTACCTAAAAGTAGAAGAAATCTTAAAAGAACCAGAGCTGTGGTTGTCTGTATTGCTTAAAGATGAGTCTACCTGAATTTGTACTGAAGTCTAGCTTCTGTAATGAAGCGAGGTTACTCAAAGCCTCTAAGATGATTTTTATTTAAATCATTCTGTCAGCTGGACATCATGCTGGAGTCTGTGAGAGAGTGGCTGCATGAGCGAAGAAACTACTCCCTCTTCATCCTGCATCCCAACAGCCGGCAAGTGACACACACACACACACACACACACACACACACACACACACACACACACACACACCCACACACACACCACCACCACCAGTTTCTTTGTGTTTAAAGTACATCTGCTTTACTTTCAAGTCTCTCTCTCTCTCTCTCTCTCTCTCTCTCTCTCTCTCTCTCTCTCTCTCTCTCTCTCTCTCTGTGTGTGTGTGTGTTTGTTCAGGGTTCGTGAGATTGTACACAAAATCAACGACCACGGACTTTTTGAGTTTGCCCACACGCTCCTGGTGCTGCTGAGCTGCTTCATCGTGTGCCTGGAGGAACCGGACCTGTCTCCAGAGGTGAGCCAAAAACACTTAACACTGTTTCTGTAGATTTTCACACGCTGCTGAATACACACACGCACACACACATGTACACATTCTCGTCTAGCATTTGTTGTGCATGAGGATCGTCATTACTTTTATTGACTGGATTGTGACTAATCCTAACTCTAACCATAACCAGTCTATTCTAAACCCTAGTCTTAACTAAACTTTAATTCACACTAATCCTCTAAAACTAATCAGTAGAGCTCTGCGACATTGTATCAAAGTGAGGACAAGCAAAATGTCGTCATTTTTCTACTAATGTCCTCAGTGTGCAGGTAAAACGCTTGTCATTGGTACTCACTTTGATGTATGGATGAGTACACACACACACACACACACACACACACACACACACACACACACACACAGACTTTGTCTACTAACCTCTTTTGCTTGACAGATGCGATCGAAGCTGGATGTGGCCAGCGTGATATTCACCATCTTCTTTGTCCTTGAGATCCTGGTCAAGGTGAGAAGTCACTTTAGTCTTAGCGCTAACCCTTTAGGAGGACTCTACAAATCATTTGCAAATGTTTCCTCTTCAACGTCTGCAGGTCATTGGAGATGGGTTAGTGTGTGGAGCCTTGCCCTACCTGCAGTCCCCCTGGAACATCTTTAACGTCTTCCTGGTGGTGGTCTCCCTGGTGGATAATATTGTGTATGATGACGTTTCCATACAGGCCGAGAATCCTGACGACGTTAAAGATTCTCCAGCTGTTCCGGGTGCTGAGGTCCGTTATTTAACAATGATTTATTCTCTGGTTCTGTGAGTTTGTAGTTGCAGGTTTAATTTAGACGTTTGCGTCTTGTGTATAACTCAGGATGATGACTGAGTCCATAATGATGAACACGGTGTTAGAGCCCCTGACAGATGCTGTTTCTGGCTCCATCACACATGTGAGTGCTGTGACACTCATCATCGTGTTTTTCTACAGCATCCTGGGTGTTCAGGTTAGTTGATCTGAGGCAACATTTTCATGATATAGTTTGTTTTTAATGCTGTTGATGCTTTCTCCAACAAGCTTGTCTTTTTCCAATGACTGTAGCTGTTTAGAGGGTCCTTATACGGCTGTGAAGGAAGCAATTTGACTAACATCAGGACCAAGGCCGACTGCCTGATCGCTGGCTATTGGTGGAGCGGTAAGCTGTATGACTTCAACAGCGTGGTGCTTGTAAGTACTCTGTCCCTGATCAAAAAGGGGGCCTATTTCTTTTTTTGTCCATCTGAGAAGGACTTTTTCATTCAACCAAACACAAAATGGTTGAGAACTAAAACTCTCTGTTGGTCTTTTAGGGAATGTGGACTTTGTTCATCATGTTCACCGGGAGCTGGGCAAATACCATGTACGACGGCATAAATTCTGTCGGAGTTGATCAACAGGTACTTCTCAGCTATTTCATTCATGTTTAATGCCTGAAATGGTTCTTTACTGATGTTCTCTGGTCAAACCCAGACTCTACCATCACGAGTGGCTCAGTGGGTCTAACAGACATTTTGGATGCCTTTGGGACAGCTGCGTAATAACAAACTCTTTTTCAGCCGGTGCTGAACAACAAGCCCTGGGCAGCCTTCTACTTTGTCTTCTTCATGTGGCTGAGCTTCTTTCTGGCGGACATGTTCATCGGAGCGGCTGCAGAGGGTCAGCAGTACTTCCTGGTTCGTCGGAGGGAGCAGCTGTGGTCCCTGCCCAGAATCGGTAAACGAGTGGCGGTCTATTCCACCTATGCTGATCTCTGTCATCACAGCAGCCTGAAGGTGTTTAGTGTTTCCACTAGTGGGTGAATGTAGTTTTCACTTGTGTGTTTTAGGGACACGCCGGACGAGGTTCACGCTGCTGCAGATGAGGGCACAAGCAATTCTGTTTGACCCTCGCTACAAAACTGCGATAAACCTGTCCACCTTCTTCAGCTTGGTGCTGATGGGTGTGGATATGAGGCATCAGACCACGGTAGCACACACACACACACACGTCTGAGTCTAAAAGTCTCCATCTGCAAGTGTGTTTAATAACTGTTTCTGTGTATTCAGTCTGTCGGCGTCGTGGTGATCCTCTGCCAGGTCATCTTCACCGGCTTCCTGACCAGTGAGATTTTCATCACACTGGTTGGGTATGGCTTCAGGAGATTCCTGTCCAACAAGTAACTTCCTTAAAGGACCTTTTTTTTCAGTATGTGCTACATGTGTCTCACAGTGTGTGTGTGTGTGTGTGTGTGTGTGTGTGTGTGTGTGTGTGTGTGTGTGTGTGTGTGTGTGTGTGTGTGTGTGTGTGTGTGTGTGTGTGTGTTCACTTAGGTTGCTCTATGGTTATTTTTTCATCACATTGATCATGGGCATCAACCTGTCCTTGGACGTGATGCAGCTGGCGGACTCGATGACCTTCAGCCCAACAGCCTTGAGGGTTTTTCGGATCCTCCGCTACTCACAAGGTACAAAATAATTAAACAGATTTATTCAAATGAAACAGATCTTTGGCGGGTGTGTGTTGTATGTGTGCTTAAAGCTGACGTGGCTGTGCTTTTTTTCAGCTCTGAGGATGAAGATGGTGAGGAAGTTTGCTCTGATCCTCTTTAAGAGCCTGCAATGGGTAAATGTGCATGCTGCCATTTTTCTTTCCCATATTTTGGGGGACTTTTTAATTATAAATGTTTATCCTTTAACACTCCTGGAAAACATTCAGCTTTTTGTCTGGATTACAAATGCTCTGCTTGCAGATCTTCCCCCTCTGTGTCTTGCTGGTGTTCGTCCTCGTGGTGTACGCCAATGTTGGGGTGGATGCGTTCAGCACTTTGGGTTAGTTTCTTCAAAAGCACACACACTCTCACACACGCAAACACACACACACACACACACACACACACACACACACACACACACACACACACACACACACACACACAGGTTGCAGATATAGTAACATCCTTGATCTCGTGTGTTGACCAGAATGCTCTGAGGACTACCCGTATGGCGCGGTATGGGGGCCAAAATTAAGACTACTGCCCAGCAGCAGGAGGCTATATAAGTTCCGAAGCAAACTACTGATCTGATTAATGATAAGCTGGCGCCGGTAACTGAGAGGCTGGCGCTGCTTACTGAGAAGTAGCACCTTTACCGGCGTCACTACTAGATATGCTAGGGACTAGCAGCCCTCGGCTGGTAATTGACTGGATCTCACACTCCCTCTGCTGTCTATTAGCATGGATAGGCTAGCGTTAGCCTGGACGGGCTGGTGTTAGCATTGGAGAGGCTAGCCATTAGCGTGCCTAGGCTGGCCACTAGCTGGATTTCCTACCTCCTCGACGGACCATTAGCATGGATAGGCTGGCGTTAGCATCGGAGAGGCTAGCCATAAGCGTGCCTAGGCTGGCCACTAGCTGGATTTCCTACCTCCTCGACGGACCATTAGCATGGATAGGCTGGCGTTAGCATCGGAGAGGCTAGCCATAAGCGTGCCTAGGCTGGCCACTAGCTGGATTTCCTACCTCCTCGACGGACCATTAGCATGGATAGGCTGGCGTTAGCATCGGAGAGGCTAGCCATTAGCATGTCTCGGAGAGTCACTTTATTAGATGCGGGGTTTTTTTTTGTTTTAACTTTTATTAAACGTATGACATACGGTGAGACCAGCAATCACAGTTGCTTCTTTGACAGAACACACTGTTATACAGATTAACTTTAAGCATATTTATTTTTTTTTATTCTTGTTATGGACATATCCCTTGTCTGAAATAAAGTTTGATTGATCATATTGTAAAGCTGACAGCCTGTTAGCATTGATCAGGTGCTGCGTAAACTCCATTCTATTAATTACATGTTGATGGCGTTTTCTTTTTAAATAGTTTGGTTTTTTTGCACATATCAGAGAAAAAGCCAGAGCTAACTAATATGTACTTTTCATCTCTGAATTTTAAATCCTTTGTATTGAATTACAGGTTAGTAATTATTAAAATTGTGATGTTATCTTTATTAAAACTATATATGTAAAATGTGTCTGATAATAATTTCCCTTAGGGGAACAATAGTTTTGTTGCACTAAACTTACTGTTGTCTCTGCTGAAGGTTATGGGATGTGAAGTTTTCTCCTCAGATGATCTTGTCAAAAGAAAAATAGAGTATGGCTGAATTTATACTTTATACCACACACAGTAAGTCAAACTTTACTACAACAAACAGCTGGAGTTTGACCTGAATTTTAAAAGTGGAAAAAGAACTTTATTTAATTAGTCAGCAACCTGTATCCTATTTAAGTCACCACCTGCTTATGTATTAAAATTTAAAGCTCAATAAAACTGTAGCACTTCTTCAATAAGAGTTTTTGTAGATTAACCCTCCCACTGTTCTAATGGGTGTGACCCCACAAGGAAAGCTGACCATTGAGCAGGGTTGATGGTTTATCCCTTGGGTCCACGTGGCAGGGGTGAGGAGTGAACACCACCTCACCCCTGCCACGTGGACCTCAAGGGATAAACCATCAACCCTGCTCAATGGTCAACTTTCCTCACGGGGTCACCCATAGACAGTGGGAGGGTTAAAGAAATTCATCAACATCACAACAAAGTCACATATTTTACTGATAAAAATTAGTGTTTAACAGTGTTGTAGACATGTGTAGTCATTTTTGCATTTTGGTGCAGTTTGTTTAATAAGCTGGTTGTTCGTTCAAAAAAGGTATAGGAACGACATTCATATAGTGCTACAAGTATTCATGTCTCAATAACACCCCCCCCCCCAAAATAAACAATACTAACACAAATAAAGAAGGAACACACGTGTCATCAGCCCATCTGTGTCTTAGCCATCAATACATGTTAATTTTATGTTGACACATTATCATAAGTCCTGCTCATGACAGACATTTTTTTTTCAAGTGAAGCACATAATCAGGCATTTACAGTTTGATTATACACTTTTAGAGCAAGTTACTTTGATGCTAAAAACAGCAACTACTTTGAACACCAAGAAGAGAATTAAAGTTCAGCCAGTCGCAGTGCTTCCATGTACAAGTCTGCTCCAAAACATGAGCTGGCTGTTAACGGGTCTATTCTGTCCAACAATCTGTTGACATTTTGTATTAGTGAGTCTGGATGCTCTGGCACGACAATGTCAGCAGTGGAATCAGAGGCTGGTAAAGATCCCTCAAAGTCATTGCCCCATTCACTGAGGCTGACCTGTGTGGACAAACAAATATTCAAAACAATATTAATGACAAAAAATTTTGCACATTTAACATGTAAAAGCAGAGCAGTACTCAAAAATACAAATATATTTATCATACTGGTTGAGTTGGTTCCACTTCACTTGTCAATTGCCCGGAGATCCACAGCTGGTCAGGGGAGCGGTTTCCAGCAGAGGAAATGCGGTGTCTGTCCCAAGTTCTTCTGAAGACATTTAGGTGGGCGTTGATTCTTGGAATCATTACGTAGTGCAGGCACAGCAGGTGGATCTCATTGTCAGAATCAAGAGCACCCGTAGTTTCCATGTACTGGAACACTGCATGGTAGTTGCAAACCACTGACTGCCACAAATCACGCCAAAGCCTCTCAATGCGTTGATTATGAACACTTCGGCCCGTGATGAAACATCTGCTCTCTAAAAAGAAAAAGCATGTTATCACAAAGACCTATACATCTTCCTCTATAGGAGAATTTGGTCTAAATATGTACATAAATATATTAAGAGAGAATATAATTTAGCCACACTGCAACATTGACCATGGAGACACTTTTTACCCTGAAGCCAGTAAAGGTGTAAGTTGAGAATGAACCATGCCACTCAAAAAAAAAGTGACGTGATTTTTGCACACAGGGTTATGTGCAGATGGGGGAGAGACAGATGAGCAGTGTGGTGGACAAATTATGATCCAGTCCTTAAAAAAAGGATGTTCACGATGAGGTTTTTCCAGTACTGTACTTTACAAAGGCAATTTTATTTATTAATTTTATTGAGAAAAACATTTAAATTATTGGTTGCCATCAGTATGTGAACATTACTGCATGCAATATGAAATCCAGTGGGGTTTCCCCACACAGATGACCAGCTCAGTGGCATAGTGGTAGAATGTCTGCCCTGAGACAGGGAGATTAGGGTTCAAATCCTGGTCAGGTCATACCAATAACTTTGAAAATGGGACCCAATGCCTCCCTGCTTGACACTCTGCTTTAAGGTGTTGGATTAGGGGGTCAAACCACCAAATAGTTCCCGATCACGACCGTGTCTGCAACTCACCACTCCCCATGGGGATGGTTCAAATGTACAGGTCAATTTTCATCACACACCAGTGTGTGTGTTAACTATGAGACTTTAACTTTAACAATGACATAAAACGCTCCACAAAAACAGAACATACCTATGGAAACACAAAGCTGCCACCTACACATAAGAAAATGAGCAGTATCACATGATAAAATTGTATTAAATAATAATGAAGTTATCTAGACAAGGGCAGTAAACTGAAAATTTATCATTACCAAAATGTACAACTTTTACCAATGTCATTTTGCCATTTAAAAAAATGAAAAGATCAGAGTAGGCTGCTGATGTCCATGTCTTTATAACTCATTCACTGCCATTGATGACAAAAGTCGTCATTTTAAATCCAACCGTTCACTATTGTCATGTATTTACTGTGTGGGCAGGGTCCGAAATTAAATTTTTTACTCACCGGCCAAGTTGGCTGGTAGATGATGAAAATCTACCGGCCAAGCATATTTTTTTACCAGCCAAAATTCTAAATGATTTAGATCTACCTAAAGCATGTTATTCTATATTATGTTGATTCCAAACAGAGTGACAAAATAATTAAAACATCAATTAATAAGAAAAACAACTCTTTTGTCATTTTTACTATTTATTTATTTATTTATTTATTTTTAGAGATGTTTTTATGAACTCTTTCAATGAAATCTAGTCAGACTCCTTGTTTTCTCTGTCCATGAAGTCTGGCCTCCTGCTTCTGACACCGTCTTTGTGCCAAAGCATTACAGCCTCATTTGGGTCCTAGTCCTTGATCTCTGGAGAACACAGCTGCACCATGAGTATATCTGAAAGTGTGTCAGGGCTAGGGTTGTCACGGTAACCGGTGTAGTAGTAAACCCCGGTAAAAAAGTTGACAATAATAACCATCTTGTTTTTAAAAAATATATTATCTCGGTGGATTACAGTGGCTGCGGTGTAGGCACGGTGACCCTTACCAGCCACCGTATCATCTGCTGAAGTTGCCGGCGGCACATGCGCACTTTGTTGTTTACGACCAAAACTTTCTTGAAGCTAAAGCTGAAATAATGGCCAAAGGAGGAGACGGCAGCACTCGGGACATTTATTATCCCTCAAAGAAGACAAAGTCGGAAGTATGGGCATTTTTTGGATGTTTGAAGAATGCCGAGGGACAGAGGCTGTGTCAGCTTGCAGCGTGCAAACAGGCAAAAGAGATGTCTCAAGGATGCTTGTTCCGAATTGGCCGGTTCGGAACTCCACTAGAAACTGAATCCCTCGGGAAGTAATTCTTGTTTTATTAAACTACAATGTTATGATTTATGGCGTATTCTGGCAAGTCCGAATTTGAGAAGTTTCTGGTTATTTACCAACATTCCTCAGAAAGCCACGCCCTCCTTCAGATACAAAAATGTTTTTAACCTTAATATGTATCTTTTTGCAACGTGTATGAGTAAACAATGATTAACTTGTTAAGTCAAACACAGTGATTTGAGATATAAATGGATCATTGTAAGAACAATATTCATTTCAAGTTCATTGATTTAAGCACAGATTATTCATACATTTCATTTAAACATCTTGTTCATTCATCACATGATTATTTAGCATATAAGTTGTAATGCCTTGTAGGATTCGTGTGGATTCACTTTTATTCAGAGTGAGGAATCCAGCAGTACGACTTTTAGCAGAGAGAAGGGCTTTTGTGGGAGACCTTGGCAGTTTATTTATGTCTGCGTTGAACAATAAGTGAGCAAAAGGTTGATTTGTGCGTCTGGATCCTCTTGCTGGTGCAACCTTGACTTTGCAGCTCTGGCGTGCATGAAAGGTTATTGTGTCAATTCGATGGTGAAAATTGACCCTTAAGATTCATTACAATCATGATTATCAGTTTTGCCATAATCGAGCAGCCCTAGACTGAGTCAACTATTCACACCTGCAGCTTGACTTCTGTGTCATTTTAAAAAAGACTATTACCTTTGTCAAGGATAGGGGGATATTTGTTAAATAATTAAGACATTGAATGCCAAATTCAACCTGAAGAACTGGTACACCTTAGACTCATGAGCATAATAATTTGAATAATATCAGGCCAGGTAACAATGCTCTCTCTTTGAATTAAGCACAGTTGTGTTTTTATATGATTATTAATGTTATTTGAGAAATACAGACTTGCTACACAGTGAATATATGATACATTTTTGTGGTATTAAAAACACAAAGATTTAATGTTATTATTATAAAATATTTATTAGGACGCTGAACCAAAATGTTCCTGAGCCAGCTGTTGAGGATAAGGACACTCCAGGCACAAATGAGCGGTAAGAACAAAGCACATAGTTTAAACATTCTTCTTTTTTAGTTTTGCATTGTGAGGTATTATTTGAATTTAATTAGGGATACTTAATCCGATCACGTGATTAAAAATTGACCCCAATCACATGATTTTCAAAGTATCTTAATGGATGCAAAAAAATAAATAAATCTGCTTCAACATTGGAACAAGAAATATCTTTTAAATTCATCCTGTGATAGACACTTTGAAACTTAACGACAATGGCTTAGTTTTAATTTTTACAAGTTCCACTACATCAGTATTCTTTGTCTGTTAGACGACAACACTGTAATGTCACACAATTTACAGTGGGTGCAAAATTCAGAAAACATAACATGTAGCGGTTAGCTAGGTAACGTCTCTTCAGGAGAGAAAAATGTCTTCTGTTTGGACATATTGTAAACCGGACAGTGAAGTCAGTGTAACTGACCTTTGTAATGTGTGCATACTGGGTACTTCCTGTGGTAGAAAATACAGAGCTGCATGATCTACCGCCTTTCTCTTTTGGCTTTTTACTTAACCTTAACCCTTACCCATCGTTTAAATTTTCTAACGTTAAAGTCATTTGAGCACAAAAAAGTGCTTTGTGAAGTAAGGGTTAAGGTGTTGCCAAAGCAAATTACCATTAAGTCCCAGTTTGCCACAAACATTGCCAGTTCTAGGTGGCAACTTGGGCAAAAACACTGAGCCAGCCAGCATTGATTTTTATTTCATTTACTTTTATTTAACCAGATGAGTCGATTGAGAACTCATTCTCATTTACGACGATGATCTGGCCAAAAAGCAGCAGCAAAAGACACGTAGTTAGCTTCGAAAGATATGTTGATAAACAAAGATAAATTGCTGTGGAACTGCAAAACATCAGGGTTCGTTGTCTCTAGCTGCGTCAGAGCTGCTTGCGGTAGCTACACGTGTTGTGCAGAGTAAAGCGAGCCTGCCATCCGTGGCGTTACATGCCTTCCCCAAAATGGGAACACTCATCACTCGATACAGCTGTAAATTGAAGACATAAAAAATTGTAAATGTGAGCAATGACTCTGCTTTTAAATATTCATTATATGAACAAATTTATCAATGTACTTCGTAAACCAGTGATTTTTGGTGGTAAGCTAATGAAAATACAAATACAAGAAGAAATAAATATATAATTGATAATAAAAAAAAATTTGGACAACTTGTTTTCTTCTTATTTTTATGCATTGCTCAAGATCAGGACCCAATAATGGCAAATACTCTAAATCTTAAATTTGGGATAAAAAAATGTAACTGGAATATACATATTATCCACACCTTCATTTCCTCACACTTGGACAACCCTCCTGTTCCTCAGTAGTTTTTTGTCATGCTGCTGTTTCTGTTAATTCTGTCTTTCTTGGGATCCTGTGATTACCTTTTTGTAATTCATTTTCTTTCTTCCTTCACATATTTTACTTTTTTTCTCAATTTTTACATCACAAAATATGTTTTAAAATAATTGCTTTTTTCTCTGTTTTGTTCTTGTGAAGCACCTTGTGATTTTTTTTCTAGTGAGGCGCTATAGAAAAAATGTTTCTTATTCAAAACTGGGTGCAGCAATGATTCACACCTAACTTAGTTCTATTTGTGCTTCATTTTTTTTATACAGAAACATTGAGAATATTCTCAAAGAACTGGAGAAGGCAATTGAATATGGAGATGAAAGTCCTGCATCGTATGTAAGTGTGTGCAGATCTCGGATCTGGATGGGTGCAAGACTGGCTCTTAGCCGGAAGTCATTTCAACCTCATTGGCGCATCGATGTCAAGTTCATGGACGATGTTGGAAAAGCTGAAGGAGCAGTTGATTCAGGGGGACCAAAGCGGGAGTTCTTCACCCTTGTTTTGGATTATTTGCATGGTAGTGAGCTGTTTGTAGGACCAGAAAACAGCAAATTCATATCTTACTGCAGTTCAGGTGAGATGCATATTTAGTAATTATTTGA